TCTATTACAGTGTTAAAAGCCCTCAGGCTGAGTTACAAGGCTTATATACAGATTTCATCATGCAGAACAAGAAAGAACATCTGCTTATCTTCCCAACGCCAGCTAGTGCAACAACTGTTCTAAAGGACGAAGTTGCCAGTGATTTTAGGGAATTAGGCTTTTGGCAGAAAGCACAAAGAATTTTCTTCCAGTGTAATTTGAAAGCAAAAGCAGTGATTTCTCCCCAGGAAAAGGGACAGCTAGACAGCTGGAAGCATACAGTTTGTCCTTACCAAGTGAATAAGGAGCCTTATCACCATAAGAATCAGCTCAACCGGAACAGGCTTGTGCCTCTACAGCGAGCAATGTGCCCTGCCTCACAAAAGCCTAGGGACCTTACATAGCAGTGGCCTTATTTGCAGAAAAGATGACCGGAAATGCTGTTTGTCCTAAAAATCACCAATTCCAATTCACTGATAGCTTCTCATGCTAGATTTTTTGAAGTTTCACATACAGTGAATCTCTGTCCTGAATTTGCCTGTGACTATTCCAAATCAAGTACTTGCACCAAAGCAAAACAAAAAAATCCAAAGGGATTTCCCCCCCCCCCTCATTTTAAATGGAGAAATATATGCCATGGTATACTTCTATTCACAATTGTTCTTTAGCCAAAAGAATTGTACCACAGTCACGTTCAAGTGGAGTTTGACCTAAAAAGTGCATGGTAGCCTTAACAGAGTCGCTTACTCCTCAGGCCTGTAAGAACCGAAGTAATAAAAGAGCTTTTAAATTCAGCTGAACCAATAAGTTTCTCCTCACATTCAGCTCTCTATAGGCTTGATCTGCAGTGATTAAGAATTTATCAGAATGCTGAAGCAGCGTTCACTTTTCAAATAATGTGACAGCTCCAAGTCCAAAAATCTCGTTCTGTAGGTATAGCATATGCAATTACAACAATAAAAAAAACAGTAACTATCCAAAGAGCAAGGGCAAGAGCAGGTATGTAAGTAAATATTACACATTTGGGTAGGAAAAGAAAAGGGGGTGATCGATACCTGTGCAAAATTGCTGATTCCTACTGTTCCAATGCCATTTTCAACTGATATCCATTCGTGCTTGTCTGTGAATTTGCGGGCTAAAATGAAACAAACTTGATATTTCAGAAATAAGTGGCACGCTGCTTGCTTAAATACAATACATCTAAAGGTATTAAACCGTTTATTTTCCCCCCAAGGTTAGCTTGTGTTTTCCCCCCACCCCCTCCCAGAAAATATTCAAAGCAGCAACTAAAATTTACAGATTTTATTCTGCTCATGCCATGCTTAGTGACACAGTAGAAGCTCACTGGGGAGGATTATGCCTGAAAGTATTACTAATTCCTTCGCAATCATCTAGGGAATGATGAACTACAGGAATAAAAGGAATAGTTTAGTTCAAATGTAAAATATAACTCCAAAGCATATATGTGTACTTTGCTCACACTTATGCTATTCTATGATAGCTTAGGGTCTTCTCAAGCATAGTTAGTGCTTATTTCTGCCAACAACTTTATTACTCCTGAAAAGGCCAGTGTAAAAGACATGTTAGAAACAGTGTCAGCATTACAGCATCTCACTCAATGTGCTTAGAGCCACCAGCTGAAATGAAGTTGCAACCTTTAACTTTAACCTTTACATTTTAACCTTGCAAAGTTCCAGTGGCTGATTCCCTTCCTCTACAGTCTATTTCTCCTATTTAATGTTCCCACAGATCTGTGTGAAATTAAGCACAATTAGTACAGGTCAAATTAATACAGCCATTTAAACAGATAACTGTTACTTCAGAGAATTTGCTGTTTTTACTATTAGAACAACACAGTAGTTATTCTGAATAGTTTTAAATATGCACGTTTAAGACCCTGTTAAATCTCATCACAGCAATCTTACAATTCTGGATATATTTTAGATCTGTTAGATTAAGGGCTGCTCATATTAACTTTTGCAAGAGCCAGTTCTTTTTATAAAGACACATGGAAAATCTTCAAAAGTAGTAATTGAAAGTTATTTTTCTTCCTAATAGTTCTTCTTATTCTGAGAGTGCTTTCAGCCTGCTTTATCCTTTTCCTTAGACTTTCCCAGATATTTTTTGTTTCCTTTCTCTTTAATGTCCACTTATAGCACCTGTCCAATCACACAGGGGATGTTCCAGAAGTTGAAGAAGATAACTTCTTAAACAGAGCTCCTGTGAGATTAGTGCCTGAGTGGTGCAGCTGGACCTGCCCTCTGAGTCCAAAATTCTCTTCTTGGGCCTTTCTTCTAGCTTGACCTCCTTGTAACCCCTAAAGAAATTCAGCTTCCACAAAGCCTCGTTTCTTTTCTAAGCCTGCACATGAAGGAAAGCAGTTTTCTTTAGATCTGATAAAATCCTTAATCTAAGTCAGTAATGTTTCAAGCTGTTTCAGTTGTAGTGAGAAAATGGTTTGTTTTTTAGGATGGCTCAAGATTGATATGCGTTTATATTGACGGTGATGGCACAACGTGCTTTTTTGTAAGTACAGCAAACAAAGTTCTTTGAGTAAAAAGATAAGCAAAGATAAGGATTTTTCCATTCAATACTAAAACAACACTAAAAAAAAAAAAAAAGCTACAATTTCAGCTAGCATTATTTGAATCTGCATTAATCTCTCAGGACATCTTCTAATGAATGAAAGAAACTAAATGTCTTTCAAATCAATTTAGGTCAATACATTTACCCATGGGTAATAGGGATTTCATTGGAAATGAGCAATGGAACCATGAGAACAGAGAAAAACGCAGAACCTCAAGCACGAGCTGAACATGAAATGTTATAAATGTCATGAAGAAACCAGACAGGATCTTTCTATGTAGGACAAAAATACTGTATAAGATTTGTGTACAAGGCAAGATTAAAAAAAAAAAAAAAAAGCAGACACCCATGATCAATTTGAAACAAAGCAGTAGAATGTTTTCAACAGCTAGAAGGGCACATATGCTTCTCATAGGACATTAAAAAAAAAAAAAAAAGAAAAATGAAAAATTCTAATCACGTAGCAAAAGCCCCTGCAAATAAAGTCCAGGTCAAATTAGAAAGAGTTAATAAGTAATCTCAAAAACTGAACTTCGAGCTTATGCCATCAGCACATTAAATAAATCAAAATAACGGACAAGAGATGTCAAAAGCACGCCAAATCTCTTCTGTGAGTATTCTTTTTCAGAAGAGGAGCTAAATTTACTCTACCTTCATTCATTTCAACATGACTTCAGTTTCAGCTTAGCTAGCACATTCTAAGTTCAGACCTTCATTTCGATTATCCTGCCTCTATTAAATATTTCATAAATATATACCTGAAGAGTGAAGGAAAACTCACACCTCCACAAACAGGCATACAAAATTTTTCCTCTCTGCCTAAAACAAAAGCATAATTTATGTTATTTCTTCAGGTTATATCTATAGAAAGCAATAGGTATATTAAACAGCTGGAATAGTGAAAAAAGCTTAGCTCTTGTCTCACCTACTTTGCAAATAATTACTAATAAATGCTATTTCTTTCACTTAGAGTAGGCAGCAGTAGAACAGCTAGGTTATAAGGCTATATAGAAATTATGGCCCGTTCTTAGTGGCAGTCATTGCTTCTGCAGCCTATTCTGTTCTCCTACTGGTTCTACATTTCTGTTGCCAGAGTCCCACAGTCTGTGCTCAGACTTCTGTGGCAAACTTCCATTCAAAGGCAGTTTTGACAGGAGCAACGAGGTAAATCCACGTGCAAAAGGGCAGCAGGCAGCAGCCCCCCGTGATGCTCCTGTAGCCGCACTGCCCGGACACTGGTGAGGCCAATCCCAATTCTTCAGCATGCACAGGCCCCAGGCCCTGAAATTTGGCTCAGATTTCCCGACGGCCTGCACTGGTCTAACCGCAGGGCTGCTGCAGCCCTGTCCTCCCTGCCCATGCCTTTTTTGCCCCTTTTTCCTTTTGCTGCTGGCACTGTTTGGATGCTCCAGTGTGCCACATCAAGGAGCACCCCGTGCCTTTGCCAGGCCTGCTGCCCGCTCCACAAAGCCCCCAGCTGGGCCAGGAGGGGACGAGGCCACTGCAGGACTGCGGCACGGCGAGGAGCTCGCCCGGCTCCCTGCCAGCTAAGGGCAGCAAACCTGCACCCTGTGGGGCAAGGAATTGGAGCAGCACCAGAAACCCGTGCTGCAAGAACCCAGGCAGAGCAGCAGCCGTCCCCCAGCTCCTTGCAGGGTGAGGAAGCAGAGCAGCACCAGAAACCTTTTGCTGTCACACACCCGCAGCTGCCCCCAGCCCCTGTGGGCTCCAGCCATCTTGCGGGGCACAGCAGCAGGGCCAGCAGCAGGCTACTATGTGTGCCCCACACCATGCCCGGGGCAGACGGCTCCCTACAGCCCTCAGCCCCCGCCTCAAGCAGGTGCAGCGAGCGAGCAGTCCCCGGCACATCCCGCCCGCACCGCGACCCCCGGGGCAGCCCCACACCGGCAGCGTCCCCGCTCCGCAGTCCCGGGGAAAGGGACAAGGGGCAGCGGGCCGCCCTAAAACCCCCCGGGAGCCGCTCGCCCAGCCCGGCGGCCTCTACCGCCAGCTCCCTCTCGCCACTCACCGGACAGCGCCAGCGAGCTGGTGGCCAGGCTCCGCGCCGCGGGCGGCCGCAGCGTGAGGCGAGGGCAGCGGGGCGCCAGGGCCGGCCCGAGCCGCCGCACCGCCAGCCACGCCATCTTTGCCGGGCGCCCTGAGGCGGGGCGGTGCCGCGCCGAGCTCCCGCCTCACGGCGGCGGGCGGGGCCGCCATTTCCTCACGGCTCCCGTCACGGCTCAGCGCTCGGGGTGGGCAACGGGGCTGCCTCGGGATCTCAGCTGTGTGTAGATGGAGGGAGGGAGGCAGGGAAGCCCCAGGGATGTGCGGTAAAGCCCCAGTGGCTGCTGCCTCCCTGGGGAAGTAGGGGGTGACCTGGCCGCCATCTGCCGGGGCTGCGCGCTTGGCAAAAAGTGAGGGGTTTGAGCCAGCGGTGCAACAAACACTCGGTGTTTATTAAATACAGGTGCCAGGCCCACTGTGAGTACGCATAGGATGCTTTATCTTAAGTTTCACACAACTTCTAACACTTTGTTACAACATCAGTCGACAACAGTTTGTGTTGGAGGCTACGGCGTTCCAGTCAGAAGCGCGATGACCTACGTCTAGCCACTGCAGCTGATAGTTAAAGTAAAACCGCTTGCCCACAAACAAAGCAGCTCTTCATTATGGTTATCAGTGAATTGCTGACAGATTACTTCAGTTGATCATTACTGGCAGGCTTTTCCTCCTTCTTGCATTTAATCCCGAAGAAACTGAAAAGTTTCATTACCATTAGATCCACGATCTCCTCCTCTTCTGAAGCCTGAAATAATGACAAGAAATAAAGTTACTAGGATGGGCAGACTAGAATCAAATACAGTCCTCCGCTAAAGCAAGAAAAAACTGCAAGAGAAAAACTACTTGATGCCAAATAACTCAATTCTCACTTTAAACAGAGCACAAATAACTGCCGAAGCAAAGCATCGTGCAAACATATTTTATCAAAGACAAACGTCCCAGGTAGCCTGAGGGTGTCTGCATTACAGAAGAAACCTTGGCTCTGTCAAAGCCAATGGAGATCTTGCTTACTGGAGCCTGGAGTTCACTACCCGGCTACCATGCAGCTACTGGTATGCACGTCTGGCCACCCACTATTTCTAGATGAAGTAAATGAGAAAAACTAAATAGATCTTGTTTCTGTTAACCACACTTTTTTCTTCTCCACTGAATTTATATACAATATAGAGGAATTTTGGACAGTACTGTAGTACTCGCCTGGATTTCACACCATGCTACCAAATAATCTCAAAAGATCAGGCACTCAGTGACATTGCTAATGGGCTCTGTAAAGTCCTCGTCAAGTCGGTAGCTGTTTTGGTACTGATTTCAGTGGAGCTGGGGCAGAAGTCTAAAACTTCATTACTGGGTTTAGTATGTGAACAAAAGGCTACAGATCTTATACTAAATCTGAACAGAGACTCGCCTGAACAGGAATGGATGGTGTAATTCTGGAAAATCTGAAGCGTGCTTTATGAGTAAATGTTGACTTCTTAAATGTAGGACTGAGTTTACATGGGTATCAGGTGGTGGAATACCTAAATTGTGAGTAAGCACTACACAATAAATGTTAAATAACAGCAGAAGAGCTTAGATGGACACACCTGGTAGTGCTTCTGCTCCTCACTGAAAGCAACCAGAATCACTGAAATGAAGAGATTCAGCACCACAAATGTCATGAAAATGATGCAGGATCCAATCAAGAAGGAGCCTAAAATTGGATTGTAGTCCAAGATCTGTAGTATTAATAAGGTAAGACATCACATTTTGTTTTTTAAAAAGATAATACATATAAGCAGTTAATGCAGCAGTTTATCTCTTTGAAAATCCTTGTATATACGTTATATATAAAAAAATAGATTTTCTCCTTTAGTCACTTTTGTACTTTGATACAATATAGTACAAAGATAATGGGATATTTTATATACATGATAGGTGAATATGGGAATTTATTTATTTATTTATTTAAGTTTGCATTTGAATGTAATGGTATGAAAGTTCCATGTGATTTGAAACTTGACAAGTGTGGAGATTTGTTTATCCAAATAACAGCTGAAGCTCCATCATGACCTAGCTAGCAAAGCATAGATTAACTATGTGTATTTCTCCGTGTGTTTTTATTTAGCAGCGTCTTTACACAGAAGCCCAGACTGTCATGAACACATATCAAATAAGGTTGTATAGAAATTCAAAAACCTCATTTTGATGTAAGCTATAACATAGGAATATATTTTGTGTGATTAACAACTTGGGTGAGATGTAGAGCTGAAAATGTTATGCCCAGTTACTGATCTTCAAAGCTACCCATACCCTCTTGGATTCATGGTCTAAAAACATCCACCATGGACCTCACAGTCAGCTGTCTGAGCTTAACCCACAGAGTCATTCCAAGGATACTGTAATATTTGAAAGAACTTAATGAGAAAGTCAGGAATAATAAAAATATATGCAACAAAGTTTGCTTGTGGTGGGCTTTGCCTTTCTTGAGAAGCTTATGGGTATGTGTTCAGAACAAAGGCAAGGGCATCGCTGACATTTCCTTCTGTAGCTTTCTAAGAAAATTATCTCAAAAGTTTTCCTGTAGTCAATAAGTAACATATCTAGTTAAAATGTAAGCAGCTTGCTCAATGAAACGTTCATTATGAATCTACTGACATTCAGAATGGGATGTAAGATGTATTTCACTCTTTTTCTTAATTTAATGAGTAAATGTGGCTGCTTTAGGAGGCTGTGGCGCTTGCAAAATTAGATTCATGTCTAGCACTAGCTAGAAGTCCTTCTGTTTGCTGGTTCAAAACATGTTTGATAGCTGAGACGCTAATTGCACAGCAATAAACTTCTCCAAATCAGAGGGGTTACCTCCTCATAGTTGAAGATTCCCAGCTGAAGACTGACCATGGTCTCTGCTGAATCAAAGAGAGTTTTGTAAGAGTAGAGCTTCCAGCCAAATATCAGGTTTGTCTGCAGAGGAAACAAGGCACATCTTACATTACAATCAGAGCGCATGCTGCAAGATCAGCTAATGAATGCTATGATGATGAGAAATTGGGCAGGATGAAGCTGCCTCAGGTCCTGTTTGTTACAGGACTGCCTTTCACGTTACATTTTTCCTTTGGTCCAGATGGTTTTCACTTCAGCTTTTCAGTGGTTTAGCAATTGAGGTATGCCAAATTTCCCACAGCCCTCTGCCAGAAATTTTACACAAAACATTTCAAATAAAACAGTAAATGCACATGCATAATTGTGGTCCAATAATTCGCGGATCTCATTAGAATTAAAAGAACATTTTGTTTGCATAATAATGATTATTCCTCAAATAAAGGAAAATAATCAGAAAAATAATTATTTCCCACCTAAAGAGCAGACAAACAGCAAATGGCACTCTGTGTACCCTCCCCAGTTTGAGCTTTATCCAGAAAATGATTTTTCCTGTACTTTGCTCTGTTACTCCTCTTGCACACAGAGAATCTTTTTTTTTTTTTTTTTTTTTTTTTGTCCCAGCGTTTCATTTTTGTACTAAAATTCAGTTTGCAAAGAAACAGGCAAGTGGATATTGCCACTTCTTTCACTTATGCAAAGAATCTCCAGGCTTCTAACCTAAGACTTAGATAGGCAGCTTTATTCAGTTTTACATTTCAAAGCCGCATCACTGTCACCATTCAGAAATAATTGATTTAACCTGGCAATGCAGGCTAGATGCAGACTGCAGACAACAGAACCCACAGTCACACTCACAGCGATGGAATAGGCGAGGAACATGATTGCGATAACAGTGATGAATCCAGAGATGTCACCCCAAGCCCTCCGTAGAGTCGAAGTGATCATGTTTAGTTTAGGGTTGAGGCGCAGCAGATGCCACAGTTTCACTGTGTAGAGGAGCACTAGGAAAGCAATCAGGTAGCCAAGAACTGCATCAGCTCTTGCTGTTTCATTAAAGCTTACGCAGCTGTTAGAAATAAAGAAAAGAAGTATTAGACCATGCACACAGGAGCCTTTAAATACATAAAATTGGGAAAAGCCACTCACTCTGAACTGATTTTCAGTGGAGAACTAAGCTGAGTTTCTGTTTGAGTTCCTGTCTGAGCTTCCTGCTGCATGCACACAAAAAGCTCAGTTGCATAGGACAATTACTTTTTTTTTTTTTTAATTATTATTATTTTTATGAGCATTAGCTAAAACTGATAGAGGGTCCAGGCTGTAACCCACAAACTGCTCATTTTTAAGAAGTCATAGGTTAAAGGTAGCTGGTACAAACTTGCTATCAAATTTCTGGCTCAGAAAGGAAGACAGATCCTTTTACGCATGTGAATGTTGAAGGGGATGGGGTTACTGGTGCTATGCTAGACCAGTTTTTAGCAAATGTTATTATTTTCCATTCTGTATAAAATAAGCCATTACTGTCCTCTACCCAATGCTTCTTTACAGCAGATAACCTATGTGCTAGCTGGCTGGATGTCCTGTATCAGCAGGGTTTGTTGATTCAGAAGAGGGCGCTGCAGGTAGGGAGCTAGGAGCTAGCTTAGTAGCTGCTAGCATTAGTACTTACTCCTCTTTGTGCTCCTGGTAGTAGCTGATGTCTCGGGTCCCAAGGATTGTCCGCTTCACAAACACTGACAGGGCGCTCCAGCTAATCAGTATGATGGCCATCTCCAGGAGATTCCACTTGCTGTGGAAATATCTCCATTTCAGAGTCTTCATCAGTTTTCCCTGTGGAAACGGGAGTTTGACTATTTCAGCCTGACTCCATATCATCTAATACACCTCTAAAGGTTAGGGCTGTGCCCTCCACAATAAAGCAGGCTAGTGCACATCAGTGAAACTACATCTTGCACTAATTTCACACTGTCTTCTCAAAAGAAGCATTCCAGCCAAATAAAATGTCACATTCCCATTATTTAATAGAGTATCTGATTCAGTCTTCCATTGGTGCAAGCCAGCAGCAGCACTACTGAAGTCAAGTACAGTCCTAAAGTCTTTGCAAATGAAATCAATGCCAGGTGATGCTGTCAAGAGAATTTTCCATTGCATCTCACCTGTACTATCATGTAGTACACAATAAAGAGGAAATAAATGACTTCTGCTGCAACAACAAAGATGTGGAGGCTGTTGGTGTATGGGTAGAGACGGACACTTTGCAGCTCTGCACTTGTGAAGAAGGCCCCTAAAAAATAACAATGCTCACCTCAGTGCTATAGTAATTACAGCTTTCTGATTTCATTCAAACAATTAAGTTCACTAAAAAGACCTCCATACTCGCATTCATGTCAACGTGAGTCTGAATCCAACTATCAAACTGAGATTTAGACTTGACTACATGTGGTTTGAATTAGACTACATTTGAAAAATGTAACAGGAGGGCATGGAGATATAAATCTGAATCTTATTCTAAAAAGAAAATGAACTCAGTTTTGTGGTTTGACTTGGGCGTTTTCCAGTGCTGGGACAAACCTGAGGGAGGCTACTGCTCAGATCAAATGTTTTTGTATGGTATTCAGACCAGAATCTAGTTTCACTGTTGTATCCAGTTTAAGCATTATGATTACATGGCCGTATTTTATGTCTTCTGCAACAGAATAATAACAGAGATTCTGTTATTTGCACTTTTTGTCTTATTATTGTATTGACCAACTTAAATGATTTGGAAACATATTTTTTCCTGTTCCTGTTGTGTAATTCTAGACGAAGTGCCAGTAGTGTGTTTTCTTCATCAGCAGATGAACAAGCATGAGCAAAGATGATACATGCCATTACGGTCTGTATGACTGTGGTGCTCAGCAAGTACTACATCTGCATTTATTCCTAAATGGTTTGTAATTCTTTGCATTGATTTTGCTATGAGGAGATTTATTAAAATATTCTGTTTACTGAATCAAGAACTGGGTAAGCACTGTCAGTACGTAAATATGCACTCTGTAGATACATTGCTTGCTGTCTTGAGAGCTAGGTAACTTAAAAGGTTCTCACCTAAAGCATTGGTTTCAAACATCAGGCTTATAATGCAGAACAGGTTCACGTTGGCATTGTAGACTGTAAATTCAACAAACACTGCTCTTGTGAAGGTGTCCAGCCAGACATTGTTGAAAAGGTACTGGAGAATTCTGCCAAAAAATTTATAGACAGTGATCTAACACACACAGGAGAGAGACAGTATCACATGGAGAACAGGAGTTTTCTCATTTTCATAGAGAAAGAGAAAACCAGAGCTAAGATGTCTGGGAGGAAATCTGTCCCGTTGAGTCTGGAGATAGGGGATCTTTACTCCAGGTGATAGATTTCTTTTTGGCTCCTCTGGAGAATCAGGTACCAGAAGCTGGCCAGTGCTAAACCTGAGATGCCTCAGGTCCCTTACCTCACAGGAGTTCCTGTACAAACACAGGTATCTCTGATAACTTGTAAGAGATAAGATGTTTGGAACTCCTCCCCTGCGGGATACAACTTCCTGCTTATTTATCTCATGTCTCTTGTCTGCCAAACTCTGCCAAGGCCTGGATTTCAAGGCCTCATTTCCCATTATTTCACTTCTAAAAGTATTCCCTGTGCCTATTCATATTCACACACATTGCACTAATTCTCCCCCCTCTAGGTAAAAATTCAATTGTCTGTAAGGATCAGGAGAGTGTAAACACCAGAGAGATGAAGGAGCTTCACACATCTTACTGTGACAGGAAAACAAACAGAGGCTTATAACGAGATAACAGAACATTAACATAAAAAGATTTAGGCTAAATTATTTTCTCATGATCTTTGACATACCCTTAGAAAATGCAGTATTTAAGAAGTTAAAGGCCAGCCTAGATGCAGTGATGGATTAGCACTACATTGATGGGATTGTTTTTCTAGTTTTTCAGCATCATGTATTTCCGCAGCTATATAAATCTGGAATCTGTGCGTGTAAGTTAGGAAAAAGAGGTTATAATTTGTGATCCTGGTTGTTACCTAACATGGAGAAATATGACAAGAATATAAATTACACTGAAGGCAGCACAGTCAAACCTACAATATTCAGCGTAATCCACACTAGCAAACTTCAGGATGGAATCTGAGATGAATCCTAAACAGAGGATTCAGTAATAATTTAGCAGGTGGTACCTGGAGGCATTGTTAGGATCGGTTCCCAGGTGAATCACGTATCCCCCTCCCCTGTAGACAGCAAGTTTGCCCCAGACAGGCTGCCCTCTCAGCTCGGACTGACTCTGGTACTGCCATGCTGAGCTCAAATCAGATGAGTTAGCAGAGACCGAAGTGTTCCAGTGCTCCCCGTAGTCCGATGTGTCCTCTGTTTGCAGGGAGTACGGAGCATGGCATTCCCGAATCACACTCTGGAGTTTGGGAGAAAGAGGGCAGGTGTCTCCTTTCACTCGTACTTGGCGAATTCGAGCACTACCCACCAGCTTGGAGTTGCCGTCTGTGATGAATCCTGAACGGGAGAGGGAAAAGAGCAGCGCTGGCAATATGACAGAACCACTGATAACACCACTTCATTTCATTTATGAATCACTGATACATTAATATTTTGCTACAGATTCCTTTTTAAAAAACACCGTAAGCAAAACAGTCCTGAAAATTAAGTCCTTGTGTTGATTTTAACTCAATCCTTAGATAACATCCACGGATAACAGTGTTTAGCATCATTAGCTGTCTACATTTTATAGAGAAGGAGAGGCCAGCAGAAGAGCAGCCTGCCTGGAGGCACATGGCAAAGTAGCTGTGTGCACTGCTCCTTGCCCACAGTTGGCTGCTGCCCATCCTGTCCAGGCAGCAGCTCTGCCAATGTATTTTCATATTTGCTCTGAAACGGGAGTTGGAACACGGCTCTCATCTGTTGCTAGATAAGGCTAGATAGAAACATGCTGATAGCGCCTAATTGTCCTTCCCATTGACCTGAGCCACCATGCAGACACAGCTCTCCCGAGGAAAAGCTTGCTAGTGCCATCTATCTGTCGTTCCGTTGTGTTTTTTTTAATTGTGGGAAGAAGCTTGTGCAAAGAAGCTGTGAGGCATTTATCTCTGAGTACCTGAGATGAGTAATGCAAAATATGAAAAATGGAAAATTGCAGTGCAAAACTTGTGGATTATATTAAAGATAATGAAAACTTCAGGCCACATGGAACTTGGGGTCAGGCTGTGGGGCTTTTGTTATCCACGAGTATTCAGATTATGAATCCTAGTTTTTTGCACTCATAGTCTCCTCCTCCAGTCAAATATGCATGTACAAGTTGGGGATATGTATAAAAGATAATGTTTCAGCATCTGTCAAGCTGAAGTGAAACAACGTGTTACCAAAGCAGTCTCTGCACCTGTATATGATCCATAAAGATTTTTGAGTAAGGTGGTTTTTGCCCATGTGAAAAAATCTTGGTAACTGTAGACATCGTGGAATCCATCTGTAAAGCTGCTCTCGATGTGCTTGTTTAGGTAGTAGGAGTTGGGATCTCTCTGCCCATAGGCAACCAGTAAAAGCATCCATAAAAACCCCACGTAGGCTGGGAAAAAAAAAAAAAAGAAAAAAAAAAAAAGAGAGAGAGACAGCAGGTGAGCTCAGAATGAACACTGCTGTTCAAAATAGATAGCAGGACTGATTAGTGCTGCCATCGCTTATTAGGTTAAGGAGATGCTTTGTGAGAATCTGGCTGACCAGTGCTAATGAATTTACACCAGCTACGTCAAAGTGCTGCAGTTTAAGCATATCGCATTTGGAATACGAGTAGGAATCTGAGCAGTAGTCAAGAAAATAAGTGGGAAGGCTGGCTGAACACACACAGTGATGACAGCTTTTAAGGGAATGAGTAGTTTTAACTTCATTCCAAGTAATATCGAGGTAATATTTGTTATTGTTTTCAGAGGCACTAAAACATAATGCTATCTGTAGATACACCTCTTAGAAAAGTGGCCAGCAAAGATGTCCCTCATTTGCTTTTGATTCCAGCTGCATTTAACTGTTGACCTACTTCCACCCTTCCTAACTTTTGTTTAGCTTTTGTGTCTGCAATATGTCTCTTTAACAATATTTTCACTGATGTAAAAGTACTACTGAATAAAATGAGGTAATCTTCATATGGGTAATACCCAGGATTTCTCTGATGAGGGCAAATGCTTTCTGCTCCTTCATGCAGCTGATTTTCATTTTCTCAACATCAGCTGCAGGAGGTGGCTGATAAATATTGCTTCTGCTGTCCCGGCGGGCTCCCAGGAGAGGATTTGAGTCACCTGTGGGTGAGAGCAGTAAAACCTGGCATCAGTCAACAAGTTATCTGTGTCCTGCTTTTCACTTCTGTGAATATTACAAGGAAATATTTCCATTTAAAGGATGATGTGCTTAGAGCAACCAAGTGAGGAAGGAAGCTGTTGAACAGTATTCTTTGCTGTGCCCTAGGACTCCTGTCTGCTGCTGTTGGCTTTTCCTAGATGGGATTGTGATTGCAGAAGGTACTCTTTGGTAACAAGGACACATGGTGGGTGTGGAAAACAATGTAAACCAAGGGCTTTCATATCACAGAACTTCAATATTTTTGAGCTTGTGGACTCTTTCATTAGGTGTTACTCAAAATGCGTCTGCCTATCATATAGCAGTCTTTGTATTTTCTGTGGCTGACACAAAATCAGTTACTAAGCTTTGTCCCCACCTCTAGCTTGATCTTGTGAGTGCTAATGGCTGGGCATGTTGGCACAGCACCTTTGCATTCTATTGACTTCTGCCAGCTTTCTCAGCTGAGACTCAGGTGTATAAAAATAACCAGCAAAGTCCCCACTGTGAATCACATATTGGTGCAAAAAACATTCAAAAGTCTTGGAGAGCACTTCACTTTTTGAAATAATTTCTTACTTTACAGACAGTTACCTGGTGCAGACAAAGGCCCATCAATGGCCATGTTTTCTTCATCCTCGTGTTCCACCTTCTTCAGAACCAGAGCAAAAAAGGCAGCAAATCCCAGCACCTGCAAGAATTAGCTACAGACTCACTACATACCCATTTCATATAAAAAAAAGCTCAGACTTTGACCTGGCCTCCTTTGGATCCAGGTACTGCAGGAGAATAACTATGCTTTGGCTTTGTGGAAGTCTTATAAACATGAGAATAGTTCACAAGCCCTAGAGACTGTCTAACTAAACTGTTTTTGCCATATGGCCCATCTTCTTTGGTCAGAAGCCTTATCACCTATTAAACTCTGACAAAACAGGGGAGATGAAACTAATGGAGTTAGTGCCAACAAGTGACAGCAGAAATCTGTGGTCTATGTGTTAGCTCTAGTTTTAAAGGGAAAAACTAACTTTTATATGTTAAATCCTGTGGTTCTTTAAAACATATCTTCCCCTTTTCCTGGAATGACAGCAGAACGAGTTCATGTTGGCCGGTGGCTGTACTTCTTGGTTGTACTTCTGAGGATCTCACCTTTAAAGGCTGTGTGATGAAAAGACTTTCAAAGAAGGAGATAGCCATGGAGATCAGCCACTTGATGGAGTTCTCCTTCCCATAATGCAGCCCATAGAGCATGGTAAAGAACCCAGACACGCCACTAGTGGCTGCCACAAGGAACCAGGCAATGAACACAAACCACCAGGGCAGCCCTTTGGAAGAGGGACTTTTCTTTCCATCACCAGAGGAGCTTGGAGTAAGAGACCACCTTTAGAGTCAACCAGAAGAGAAAAAATCATTCAGCACTGGAATAGAAGCCAAAATCACAGACTTTAGGTTCAGTGGGGTTTGGCAACATCTTATGATTTAAAATCGCTACCAAAATATTATTATTTATTTTTTTTAACCAATGCAGTTATATAGATATATTGATAGCAAAAATACAATAAAATGTGCTGCCACCAGCTGAAATCAAAACAAATATGATGGGCTTATTTGCTCCTCAGTCTATACATTATTGAACCTCCAGTAGAAATGTTGATGAAAAAAATAAACATGAGTGCATTTTAGCTGCTGGATACCTCTCTTGTGAGATCACCAGAAACACCAGAGAGATAATTAGTGGTATTGTTTTCAATACATCCAACTTAATTATCAGCTTTTCCTGCAATATTTTTGTCCACTTATTCATTTTTCTTCATGCATTTTTAGAGACCAATGAGACTTTGGAGCTCCGTGATTATGTTCAACGCTGTACAGTCATGTGGCACTGTGGTGTAACGTTCAGTTTTGGAGGCAAAATTGACAGAGAGTAATGATCTGTCATTATTCCTTTTATGTGCAGTTATGCACTGAGATTTCTTTGTTGCTCCTACAGTAGTATAATGGTATGACATGTTTCTACAGCTGTTGTAACAGTTATCTGGCACTTGTTAAGCAGTACTTATTTTTGTCTCTGTCATCCTGGACAGTTTTGAATTCATGACCTGAATTTACTTATACTGAAAATGTGAAGAGTATTAGGTTACCTCTCACTGATGGACACTGATGGGCAAATCTGGTTCTCCAGGAGGTTCTTCATGTGCTGAACCTGACGAACAGCTTGTGTATAACTCTGAGGCATCTGAAATTTGTGGGGCCCCAGTAATTCCAACTCCATCTCTACATGCTGGAGTTGCATGTACAAGCAACGGTTGTAATCGTTGTGTTTCAGTCGTTCACACGTTCCCTTCTCTGGAGTCGGGCTTCTTGCCTTTTCTACAGGTAAAGAGTTTGTTTTTTTTTTTTTTTTTTAAAAAAAAAAAAAAAAGAGAGAGAGAGAGACAATCAGCATGGCTATCCCTAGATTAAAATGCTGTTCAGTACAAAGGGTAGAAAAATTAGGGCCCCAGATTATAAATGTGACAAGGCAACATTTAAAAGGACACATAATGCAGCTTTGTTACTAGAGCCTTAGCATTCTTCTGCTGGAATGGACTGGAACTGTTGCCAGTAGGCAACTTCATAAAACAGAAGTCCTAAAACCTCTGTAGCAAAGTCAGATAAGATCAAGTGTTAATTTGTTCATAACTTACCTTTGCATTTGGTAGCTTTAAATACTCATTGGAAAAGCCAAATGTATGTCTTCGTGAAATCAGTGGGACTGTTCACTGTTCATATATTATTTATTATATTGTTCACATCTTATTTATATTGTTGTTTAATTGCAAATAAATCAATGCCTAAGTTAAGAGTCAGACTGAAAGGAGCAACAGCACAAAGCCAATAATAGAAAAAACAGGCAGGACAAAATGACTGTGAAACAACTCATATTTGTGAGTCTTGATGCTACTAGATACTGATCCAACTCTGAAGCCAGGCTGATAGCTAGATTTCATTCTACAGCAAAAGAAAGAGATTTCAGTGTCTTCACTCAGCTGGGTGGTAAATGGTGCACAGCGAAAGGATGAGACAATGGGCATGAATTAAAACACAGGAGATTCCATCTAAACCTAAGAAAAGCTTTTTTATTGCACAGGTGGTTGAGCAGTGGGACAGGTTGCTCAGAGAAGAAGTGGAGTTTCCATCCTGGGAGATACTTGACATCCAGCTGGACGTGATCTTGGGCAACCTGCTCCAGCTGTGCTCTGAGCAGCGTGGTGAACTAGAGGACCTGCAGAGGTCCCTTCCAGCCTCAGCTGTTCTACAATTGTGTAATTGCCTTTGAGTCAGAACATAAAAGCTTGGGTCCTCACATCCAGTGTCACCATCAGTTTCACTACAAAGGTTTCAGCAGATGTGTCATCTTGTGTTTACCTGGTATATCCATAGCACCTAGTGTGACAATGATAGGGTCATCCTTCTTTTTGCTTTCATCGTAAAACTCTTGGCCAGCTCTGTTCTGGTGGCAGATGATGTCCTCAACCAATGCCAGAAGTGTGTTGATATTAGTTGATTTTCCAAGATCTGATACTGAAGTGAGTGATGGAGTCTTCAGGGCTTTAAAGAGTGAGTTGGCAATTCTTCTTATGTCCTAGAAAAGACAGCAGCAACACGGCAGTGACTCAGGCTGCAGTGACTTAAGCTGACGTTTTCAGAAGGCACCACTGGCTGGGAACTGCATCAGTTGCTAAAATCCCCAGAACGGATAAAGATGGCACATCTGCAGGGCTGGAAGTGGCAGGCAGATTTCAATGAATTCAGCAAGACAGTTTTCAGGACTCAGAAATGCAGCTTACCTGCCTGAGGACCTACACTGAGGAAGACTGGGTCTATGGTATGCTTTATCTTCACTGCCTTGCTTGATGTTTGCTGTTAACCCCTGAATACAGTGATTTTGAACACACATCTTAATTGTGCAAGAGTCTGGGATATACGGAGGCAGATCTTGCTGAAGATGAGGATTCCCTACACGTGGAATACACTCTGAAGGTGGATTCCTCTTGTGATCATTCATGGCTGTGTGGATGGGTAATTGAGAACTTTGCACCAAAGCATGTTTGGCTTGTCACCTCAGGCAATTTGAAAGTCATCTGACAGGGAAGATTTCTGCTGTTCAGCTGGAGATGTGGAGTCGTGCGTGGCAGCAGAGGGCAGTGCAGGACTCGGTGGGGAGCAGCCACAGGGACTTACCTTCATCACAGCCTCTGGAGTGAGCGAGACGGCTTGGGTGAGCTGTGGGGTGGGAGGAAGGCTGGGAGACACCCGGCCGTTCTTTCCCAGCTTCTTCTCTCTGCCTGGTGTGGCTGGCCGGGATCGTACGTTCCTGAAGATCTGCACGATGAGCAGGTTGATGGGGAACATGAGGAGGGAGCTCTCAAAGCCAATCATCACCTCCTGCCACGTAAACTCAATCTTCCCTGTCAAGATCAAACAGAGGGAAAGAGTGAAAATAACTTCAGGAATGATCAGGTCTGCATCTTGTGAAAAAGCCCATGTGTTCAACTGCCCTGCTTCTAGATTTTGCTGTCTCTTTATTTTCCTGCCCAAGCAATGATAATGGTTGTTACCCAGATCCATTTTCTGCTCGGCTGGATCCTTTGGCACCCCCCAGAACATGATGCTGGTCAGCATGGTGCAGAGCAGCAGCGAGAAGCAGCACGACACGCGCTGGGCTCGTGTGAAGGAACTTCGTGGGGAGCGGCTGAAAACTGAGTACCAGATGTGCCCATCCTGGAAACCTTTGGAGGTCTTCATGAAAAACAGATTGCTGGGAAGAGGAAGAGGAAATCAAGAGTGCTTAGAAAGGAGACGGAAGAATAAAGCTGTAGTTCAGGGTCCTGACCTGTTCATGTCTGTAGGCACTGTCAGAAGAAATGCTAACTATGAGAAATTATCAAATATCATGGCTTGATTTACATGGAGTGGTCATAGCTACTTTATGGCCTTTCTCCTGGCCATACCATGGTGGTAAAGCTAGTCAAGAAGCCTGTTGGCTTCTATAATATATTTCTAGGCAAATTACACTTAAGATAAGGTGCTTGGGTTTCCGTATGTCCATCAGGCTATGCTTTAATGCCAGCATTTCCAGTGTGCTGTAACTGCTAGAGTACCAGTCAGGCTGTGTTAACCAGTGTGTTCCTCTTCTTGTTCAGAGCCCTTTGAGAGCAATGGAAAGCTCTCCCTGATTTCATTTTTGTCTAGGGGCTTATCTTTGCATTTTTTTTTCTAGACTAATTGAGAGAAAAAGGCCATAAAACAGCAGTTACCTGAACTGCTTCATGTCCTGTTCTGTAGCTACTGGGAACACTTTATCTAGGACGCAGTCTCCGATATCAATGGCTAGCCAGGAGTTACAGAGGAAGTACCACTTCTGGTCCCATGCAAGGTCCTGGACCACTACTCGATTCACATACCTGTAGGGAAAACATGCAGGTCACATTCACGTGTAACTGAGTGCTCCAAAATTCAGGACTCAACAAGACCGTGGAGGACAACCTCTGGCATTTGACTTGTTAGGCTGTGTGTAAGCTGTAAGGCACAGAGCACACAGCACTGTGCAAAAAAAGAAATGAATGCTTCCTTTGTAGAAAAGATAATCTATAAGCACTAGGAAAGGAAAACTGCTGTCATTATAAAAATATTTTCAAGTCTTTATTATTTCCCTGCATACACTTACCAGGATGGATTGTCCCCTGAATTATCGTGCCACAGTCGAATGCTCTGCAATTCCCCAAGAGGGAAAAGGGTACAGAGCAGGAAAACATCCACTCCTCCACGTTCAAAGACTGGTGTATCAGGATCAGTCAGATGGTGTGGCTCACTCTCTCCTTCGAGTCCATAGAGGGTGAGAGTCACCTGGAGAGTAAGATGGCAAAATGAAGACTTGCACATCTCAGAATCCTTGTATGATGTTAGGAAGAACTTCTTTACCGAGAGGGTTGTTAGGCATTGGAATGGTCTGCCCGGGGAAGTGATGGAGTCACCATCCCTGGAGGTCTTTAAAAGACGTTTGGATGTTGTACTTAGCGATATGGTTTAGTGGAGGACTGGTTAGTATTAGGTCAGAGGTTGGACTCGATGATCTTGAGGTCTCTTCCAACCTAGACAATCCTGTGATTCTGTGATTATTCCTCTGACATACTCCCCCTGCTTTCTAAGTACTTTCCTGCTTAGAAACTCCTTTATGTCTCCAGTTCTCTAAATGAGTGCACGAGCTCTCCCTGCACAGTGCCATTGGTACCTTGGAGGTTGTGGCTGCCCCTCGGCGGTGTCCCGTGAAAACTGTCACAAGATAACGGTACTGAGCAAAGGGGTCGTTGTCTTCCAGTACTGTGATTTTCACCTGCAGAGTGACACAATACAGCATTAGCAGTTTGATGAGTATGGCTGCATTAGAGCTGGGGATAGGAATTGGTATCTTGTGAGCTATGCAAAGGGAAGGGAGTAGGGCTGGCTGAAAAATTCTGTTAAAATAGACTGGGCAAAGAGGGATTTGGGAATCATTATTAGCTGAAGACTTACTTTGGCATCATCCTGGATGTCTTTCCTCCGAGCCCAAACAACTACAAGCACATATATCAGAAAGATGCATCCTACAGTGGTCACCACCACAGGGTTGTCCACAAAGGTACCAAATAGCTGTGCAGTTTTGCTAACATCAATGGCATTGGGTATGACAAAGAAGGAGCTCCCGAAGAAGGTCAGATGGTTGCAGAGGCACTGCGTGCTTCTTGGACTTGTTTTTGGTCCTACCTAAAAAACAGAAAAAAATATAGATAAAACATTTGGCTTCAAAGTATAAGAAAACTTACCAAGCAAATGAAAAGACAGTGCTGAGATGGGTAAGTTATTAAGGACATATTAATAAGGGACACATCCCAGGAAGTTGAATGAAAATGTCATTTAAAATTTAGCCATCCTGGACTAACCTTCACTTCTTGATTTTATTAAAACATCTCAAAATGATGTAATTTTATGGTGTGAGTTCAATGACATCATTTTACTCTAAGATGAGGGTTATAAGGGCTGGCTTTGAAGTAAATATAATATAAGCATTGCTGTGTTTCTCTCTGCTTACCTGACATCCATAGCTGTTCCAGTTCCCCTGGTGCTCATCCCAAAACACACAGTGGGATGCGAAGCAAGTAACAGCTATCATTAACTTGTCATGGGCTGTGGAATCCACTCCCATATCTTGTAAAACCGTGAAGTAGTAAGTTCCCTCTCCAAAAATGAGTTCTGCTGGGCTAAGAACCCAGGTGTTTGTCTCACCTTAAACATAAATATTTTAGTTTCAATGTTAATTCAGAATACAGCTGTGTTGCATATAATAAACAGAACAAAATGAAAGAAACAGGTATCAAATAATCCCTGGCAGTTTACTGTTCAAAGCATCCCACTCTTTGTTCCTGTAGCATGAGATTGAAACTCCTTTGAGACCTTTCTTTCAAGATAGATGTCTGACTTATGGCTGGGGCTCATTTTGCAATTAAATAGCTGTGCTGACACTGTAAAGCTATGGATGAGCTCTCCACGTTGTCCATGCCAGGTGCTCTTAACTTGCCATGGGTAGTGACCATGCACAGAGCTCTGTCTTTGGTTACACAAGCCCATAATACCCAAGCTATGGGTCACTAGCAAGTTGTCTTACCTCCAGTAGTTTTCTTACAGAACAGATGATTTTTCAGGTCATAATTAGTTTCATTAGGGCGATAACCATACCCTGAGTAAAGTATTAATGGAACGTCTTCTTCACATTCCAGGTAAATCACTACAGATGTGTTTTCTGAGGTGACGTTGACTTGGAAAGTACTAAAATTGCCCAGATTCAACAGAATCCTATCTTCCTGAGTTGCAGAATGCCTTGGTAACATGATCTGGTTTTAAACAGAAAGACATAGCTTCAAATACAGCAAAGCATGTTTTATTTTTATCTATAAGCACAATACAGCCACACACTAGAAAATCTTTTTTAATAACATGAGGAAAGTATGGCCAACAGAAATACTGTCTTCAAAGTGATTGTCTTGATACTGTCAGCTAACCTCTGAAAAAGTCCCTTTCAAATCCACATAGGTTCGTCGCAAGATCTGTGATCCTTGGTGCATTTTGTAAGTGACAGCTGAGGTTACAACTGAAATGCTGGCTACATGAATTGCATATCTGAACTATTTAAATGTCAGCTTATACATGGGCTAGGAAGCCCAAACAGGAGTAATATGTGTGCACTGCCTTGTTGGATGTTGACATCCATGACATTGTGTTTTGGGATGACTGTAATCTGGAGTAATTTTTCCTGACCCTTTTTGTTATTTTATTCTTTAAATCACACAAATCCCTCCATCACGAATGCAGGCACCCTTCATCCCATGATATGTTGTAGCAAACACAGTGTCACAGTTTATAGTCACCTTACAGAGGATGGTAGCACAAATGACTGTAAATGGAAAAAGAGAAAAGAGGAATAGGGATAGAAACTAGTGGGTTTACCTCAATGTTTTCTTTGAGATTGCTGACTGGTATGATCAAGCCATCCAGACCAGTAAGGCTTAAACCTCCCACTGTTCCACTGATGTCAAAACTGGAGTCGCTGGAGAAAAAGGGATTCACGGCAAAGCTCACCATCTATTAGCAAGACATTAAGAATCAGCTTTGAGCTATTGGTAGTATTTCATTATATTCAAAGTCTAAATTGCTGAAAAAAGGTGGCTTGAACTCAGACCCAAACAGTACTCAAAAGAAGCCTGCATCCAGATTTAAATACCTGCCTTAGCTCTGTGATAGGCCAGACAAAAACCTTGAAAGTGATTTGGATTATGAAATGTGTACAAAAATATTTATGGGTTTCCATTCACTGTGACCATCTTGTCTTTTAGATACCAGATATCAAAATGCAATTGCATAAGCCTCTTTGAAAGTAATTCTGTGAGAGCTGTGGCACTCCTCTTGGCATTAGGAACAAGAAATCTACTTCTCCTGTGACAGCAATGCACAAAAGAGTGTGTCAGAGTCATCATCTCAATGAGAGGATTCAGGAGCCTCTCCTAATGCTCAGGTAAGACACTTTCAGTATTCCACTGATATAAGGGGGTTCTGGACATGTTTAAACAGAGCTGCAAAAGACAGAATGAGAAAAGTGTATGTTTTACAGGTATTGTAGGAGTGTCCTCAGAGTGTCAAATCAATCAGAGGTCTTTAGAAAATCTATTAGAAAAACATCACAATAATATGCAATCTCTTGTTCTGAGGGGAAAAAAAAAAAAAAAGAAAGAGAGAAGTCTCCTATTTCAGATCAGGGATGTGCTATCATCAGTACATGCGCAGACCTCGTCTCCTGCAGGGTCTGAGTACCTCAGACTCGTTTGTTTCTACCTGGGATGAAAGAGGATAGCTGCCTGTTGGTTTTAATGGCGATATTGACTCTGAGCTGTTGCATCCTCCTCAGAGCACTGGTTGTAAACAAAGAGAGCACATAAGTATGCAGCATTGATTCTATCACCTTCTCTAAGCATCCAGGTAGGAATCAGGAGTGTATGTGAGGGGATAATGGGATGGGGAGTTTAAGCTTTCAGTCCTCCTCAGCTTGTTCAACCAACTTCATGCAATTAAGATAAGAGAAGGCTTCTTTGACAAGAAAAATATTTCAAATAATTTTCTTGTTATGACTGGAGGGATGATTTGTGTACTTGTATGCTCACTGTAAAAGGAGTCTAAAACCACTAGACCAAGGAAGTAAGTTGTAGATTGGATTGAGTCAGATAAAAGCTGTTTACTTGCCCTTATATCCACTGTTTCATCATCAATTCCTGAAACACTGAGAGAGGAAGCTGTTGGAAGAACAAAGCTGGCAGAGCTGGAATTGGAGATATTAATGGCTGTACCATCCAGGCTTTCTGTCTGTAATCTGTCCAGTCCAGTTAGGGTTGAACACAAGCAGAACAGAATGAAAGAAAAAAAAATCATGTATGGATTTCATATCTAGAAAAAACTTTTCTCACTTCATTAGTATAACATACCTGGAAAACTGTTTCTAACTCAGCCAGTAACTACTTAGTGCATTTTCCCTGATGTTGTACTCCACGTAACACTACCGTATATCACTCCAAAAAGGGGTGGAATTGGCATATCTGGATGCGGAGGTGTACACACTTAGGTGTACTTATGCAAAAGATACACCTGGTCTTTGTGTGAACATGCTCTTGATTTTTACGCAGAGTTAAATGTGGACGAAAAACAGGCTCTCAAGGAACAATTTGGGGATAATTATAGGCAATGGAGAATGCTTATCAGGCTCCTCGTGATTGTATTTGTTCCTGCCAGGCTGGTTACAGTTCTGTATAACATGTCATTATTGGCAACATGGAAAAGAAGAAAAGAACTTAACTGAGATTTCCACAGACTTTCAAAGGTAAGCAGCTACTGCCTGACCCAGGAGGTAGCAGTAGTTTGTCCCTTGGTCAAAGAAGGCACAGCATGAGAATTTCTAAGCTGGTTTACTGAAGTTAATTGGGGTCCAAGCTGTTCTTCCTATCAGTCAGCAATGGCAGCCTCATCACACTGTTGAAGCTGTCGTTATGCTATAATATTTTGTTAGGTGGTTTCATTGAAGGATAATGTAATGGATATTCGGGGAAAAATTGGGTAACTATCAGGATTTAGGAGGTGTTGTTACAGTTACCTGTTTATATACATGGTGGCAGTATGAGTGGTAAGGACCATGGGTTCATCGTCTGGTTCCTTCCCAAACAGAAGGGCGCTCTGTAGATTTTCAACTGTGTTCAGGAGCTGGTGTGACACTGAACTCTGGAAAAGGATTAGAGGAGGGGACTTGTAACACCGCTGCTCAGAATCAGCAACTTGGATGTTATTTGCCCTTACTTCTTTTTATGAGGAAATACCGGTTTTACCGTGTCTTATAAAGCTGGCAAACTTGGTGATGAGCTTCTTAATCTCAGATACAATTATTCTTGTCAGCAATTCAACTTCTGTAATTCTCAAGAAAACACTGCATACAGCAAACAAATATCTTACAGTAAATGGAATTCTAATATTTAGAATTTCTACAAATTGAAGTTTGAAGGACTACAAAAATTGCATCAGTTTCATGCAAGATGTTTGTGCACTTGTGTACATTAATGCTCTTTCATCGCACATTTTAGTGTTTAGTCACTTGAAAAACAAGCCCTAATTACCTATTAGTTAGGTGTTATTAGTGTGTTATGTTGGGGGAGTTTGAACAGTTCATAACCTTTTCACTCAGGTTAGATTTATATCATGCCCTTCTCTCTTGCAGTGATGAAACCTAAAGTATATTCAGTCCAGGAAGCACACAAAGGCAACTGTGGCGGTTTACATATAAATAGGAAGGGCTAGGACAAAATAAACATGTTGCATAATTCTGAATAGAAAATCGGAGTGGACTTTCTGAAGAAGTGTAAGCAGCAACCAGAGCTGATTCCAGCTTTGAAGTAGTGGAGCCAATCACAAATACAGAATAGCTGTGGCTTCCTTGAATTGTGGGGCAAAAGGAGGGAAAAGAATCAAATCTAGAAAAAAAAATCTTATTGCAGTCAGTCTGCTTGTCCTCTGTTAAAGGTCTTACACTGATCCTGTGTTCTCCAGCGCTCTGTCCTGTTCAGCTTTAAATGTAACAAAGTTTAAGAGGCTCCTATCATTCCCATTAGCAGACTGTTCTAACAGGTCCAACTGGGGAGAAGTTTACTTTGATATTCCAGTCCACCATGTCGTCGTAATAAACCCTACCCAATGCCAACTGAAAAATATGAAGCAGCAAAACTCTTAAAAACCTTCTAAAGCAAGTAAATATTCTGCTACAGGACCCTACAAACTGGACCAAACCAAAATTACCTGTTCTGCCTCTGGCACTGAAGTGTTCACAGCTCTGGTGTGTATGGAAGCTTGTAGGACATTGCTCACTGCGTTAAATAGGTAGGTGGCTGCATCCTTTAGCTTCTGATCATCTCTACTGTCCTCTGTGTTTACAGTGAGCAAGGAAGCACTTACATCTTTTAGTGTGTTGCTAGCTTCTACCTGCAGGGGAAATAAAGGGAGAAGTTTCAATGTTTTGGTACTACAGATGATAGAAGTGACGTGTCATTGAGGCTTTTACTGAGTATTGCAATGTAAGTAATCCCGTGGGACTGTTTGTGGCTATACCTGTTCTGCTGTAATAATTTGTGCTGGGGTAATACCTGAAACACCAATAATGATGATGTACTAGATGGCATACTAACATGTAACACAGCTAACGTGAAAAATGCAGCATGCTTCCACAGATTCAATCTGTAGAAAAGATGGATAACATCTGAAGAAAATATGTCTGTCAAACACAGAGACAGGGAAGAGTTTAGATGCACAATGACACAGTAAATCAGGTTGTACTTTCATGTGGTGACTCCAAAGATCCAGCCCTATTGTCAACTGCACGTACATTTCAATCTTAGCTTCCATAAAACCTATTGGATTACCAGCAAGTGACACCTTTGACCTTGGGCTGTGTGAAATGCCAAAGAATGAGTCTTACAGTATTTATTTTGTGCCAAAACACAGCCCCTGACTGACGATTGGTTGTGAAAACACTGGCCAGCACTTAGCCCAGGGTGAGGAAGCCAAATGCAATCATTGCAAGCTTGGACGTGTCCATTCCCACAGTCTGCAAGTGCTTAGCAGCCTCGCATGGAGTGAGTGCTGAAACTGAGCTATGCTCTTGTCTCACCAAAGTTAACCACATACTGCTGACATGCTCCCAAGCCATTGTCTGGCTGCAACTGTGCAATACATCAGAATTCACGACAGCTCTTCTTGTTGCCAGTGTATTTGTGAATCTTCCCCAGTGACAGTTTGTTCTGTCCTCCCATGTGCTCACTCCTTACACATAAATAGCATCATCTACTAACGGTGTCATATTGCCAGATAAGATTCAATAAATACTTCTGCAAGGGCAATCTGAACATTTGTGCCTGATTCCTTTAGGTACCGTTTTGTTCCTGCCTCATTGGCAGCTTGTTTATGTGCATTTTGTGACACTGCACAGATCAGGGACCAAAGGATCTCAGCAAATTTCTAGGAAAAAAACAAAACAAACAAAAAAAAACCTCCCAGCTTCTTCTTCTTCAGGATTCTAAGAATGCTTTAGAAGACAAAATATACATCCTAGCATGTCTTCTGCTAAAAGTTAAGGTTTTCACCCTAAAGATGTATCACAGAATGTAACTGGCCAGCCACTTCTATCCCCTGGATTGTGGCAGCTGTTGAGACAACCCCTGTGGGTCCACATTTGTTTACTCAAAACAGCAAAATGCATTCCTTCTGGTCGAGGCATACATGCTGGTACCGTCAAAAAAAAAAAAAGAGCAAAGAACAGGTACCTGTAAGGCACTGAAATTCTTCCAAGGTTAGTGAGGTGCAACAGTGTCTGTACTGTTGGTGTAAGGAGACAGAAGGTGAGATGCTTCTTACCTGTGCAGAGGCAGACAGCTCCTCACTCCTGTGAGTGATTTCTTTCAACACTTCTGACATCTGAAGAGCAGTCTGCACTGATGTTACGTTAACAGCAGAGAGAGTTGTCAGCATCAGCCCTCGGAGCTTGGGATGGAAAGGGATAATTAGGCAAAGGAATAAGATGCTAATGAAGACTAAGCAAGTAGTGCTTTATATTGACAGCCAGGCTTGCTGGAAACTGTGGCAGAATAAAGCTCCACAACAAGGATCATTTGAACTGATATTAGGTCTCCTGACAAGATGCCACTTGCCTTAATAAGTGTGTAATCACATGAGTTTTGTTACCTCCCAACACAGAGAATTTATACACTTAACATCCATTAATAGCAAGGGGAGTTACTTCTTAGACTTTGTACTAATGTCTGTGAATTATTATGTAAATGCCACTTCCAGAGAAAGTAAAGCCATGTATAATTGATGTTAGTCAAATAATGAATCACAATTGAAGGATTATATGGTATTTCTCTAGATCTTTACATCTGAGGCATGCAAAGCACCGTACAAATATAAGCTTAAAAGTGAAACAAGCTTGTAGCTGAAAGAAACAAACTAAAATTACCTGCCATCTACTACTCTTAGGGAAATTTTGACAGGATATTTCTCCTGCAGGAGAGGCAATTTTATTAACATTTAAATTTTGTGCAAAATCGGGTTACCTCTAAGCTTAAAATGACCATCCAAATTAGTTTAAATTATTGCATTAACAATTTAGAATGAATTACTTTTCTCATAGATGATATTTTTTTATTTATTTATTTTTTGCTTGGGCAAGTAGTACAAAATAGCTGAAACCTGTGCCAAACGCGGAGGCGGATACCAGAAACTTGAAATCTCCATTGATTTGAGGAGGTGATATATGAGCTTTTTATTACTTAAGAGCTGCCAAAGAATACAAAGAGTCAATTATATCGCATTGTACTGCAAGAAAACAAGTGTCTGGCTGACCTCTTTTCGTGTGTCCGTCTGTAAAGATATGTTAAAGTTTTCCTCTTGGGTCTCGTGATTAAGGACTGAGGTTACTGACTTAAACAGCTGGAAAAGACTCATGCTGTTGTTCCCATCTTTTATGATGCTGTTTGCCTTCTCAGATACAATGGCCTGTAGGTTCAGGTTCCCATCGATCATATCTGTGTGTCCAACCTGGTAAAGAAATCAGAAATGCTCTTAACTTTGCTAACACTGTTATAGTTATCTTTGAACGGTTCCCACAGTTATCTCATTGGCAGCCTAGTTGGAGAAGACAGAAAACTCCGTTACCATTTTTTCATGTTTTATTTTCAGTTAAATTCTCCAGGCAGTTCTGCCATCCTCTTGGGTCTCCTGACTAAGTACTGGAGTCATTGACTTGTACAGCTGGAACAGACTCGTGCTGCTGTTACCACCCTTTAGAATGATGTTTGCTTTCTAAGATCCTATGGGCTGTCTTTAGAAATGCCCAAATGTAAGAAAAGAGCCCAATTCCATCTCAATCTGTGAAAAACTACTTTCTTTTTAAGACATCTGACACCCACTTGGCTGAGAAATTTGTGCAGAAGAAGAAGCAGACTCTAATTCAACCCCAAGTTTTCCAAGCCTCACCCTGTGCATTGCACAAAAAAGCACACTGACAAGCAGCTCTGCTGAGTGTGAGGCATGGAGAAACACATGGAGTTTTAGTGGCCTGATAAGGATCTCTACTGGCACAAAAGCAGGAGTTTTCAGGGCCCTACAGAGAGTAACTCCAGACTCGCTACCCAATGTCCACGTAGGTCATCTTTAAAAATCCTGTCCTAGAACAAAAACAGAAGTGCCTTCTGACTATTTTGAGTCCACAGAGATTAGTCTCTGCTAGATACAGAAATGATCATTGCACAGTCACAGGCATGTAGTAAGTACAAAATGGGAAGAAGTTCCAAAAGTGAATCACAGATTAAATATCGACTTGAGAGAACTTGTATTGTGTACCTTCACTGAAGCATTAGTTTGAACTGTATCGCCAAAGTTGTTGCTAATGGTAATTGTCACGTGTAAAATGAAATTATTTTCCTCTTCTCCAAGTGGAAGATAAACTGGGAAGAGCTCAGGATCTGGGCCACAGTGCAAGAGAGAATCTGAAATAGGAAAGATGGGATTACCTACCAGACATCACACAGACACCTCCTGTTCTCTGAGAAGAGAGGGCTGAAGGCTTGCTCTGTGCAGGCCTGATTGACTCATGTTTAGACTCTCTGAGGAGCAGAAGCAGGCTGTGCCTTTGCTCTTGGTGGCATCAGTAAAAGTGCTTGTCAGAAACATGGGGAAGCAGCCAAACCATCCATCTCAGGACTTACTTGAGTTCAGGTAGAAGCAGTATGTGAGCTGCCGAGATTGGCATGAATCCACTGAGCATGGAGGGCTGCAGGAGACTGTGAAAGCAGCGAGCACGGATCCCTCTCTGGGAGACACAGTGCAGCTGGGGACCTGGGGCGGAGGCACTGTGCTCACGAGGTAGGTGTCCTCCCCGTAGCCATGCTGAGTCACTGCTGGGAGTGGAGGGAGCAGAACGTCAGTGATCATGCCACAGCAGCAGTGAGCTGCAGACATTACTCTAACCTATTCTAGCAGTGATGTGGTTTGTTCAGGCACCAGAAGCATCACTGTGTACCTAATCAGAAGGGAAATCCCACTACTGATTAAGCTGTAAGAGGAAAGGAAGTATTAAAAATGTGGTAGTGTTTGCATAGTAAAGCAAAGCTGGGTCATTTAATCAGGTATTTAATATAACATCATTGCCAAATGAGCCTTAACAAAGTCATTAACAGCTTGGAGTCAGATAACTGAATTTGTCCTGTTGTGCAACAGCCCAGAACAAAGATAGTTCTTAATTATTTCAAAGAACACATGTAAAGTAACAGCTCTCAACTTGTGGAATAATTTAACTTCTTGCTTGTCAGCGAGGCTCTGTGCATGTAACGTCAGTATGATGTCAGGATGGTAGAGGCTATCTCAAAGGAGTCTAAAAAACCCTGCTTGCCCCTACCTGTTACTTTAATCTGAAAAGCTTCTCCGTGTGTCTGCAAGAAGGAGCTGTTCATTATCAACATGGATGCATTGCTTTGAAGCAAATTCAAAGAGTCCTGCCGGAAACCAGTCAGGCTACAGGCTGGAGGGAGGGGCACAGACTGGAAATCAGACAGAAAAGAAAACATGACAGTAGACGCTCTTTGCTGTGATTTCTGTTGCAATTTATCAGAAGCAGAGTGGCAATTTGGTGCCCTCCATTATAACCACTCTCAAATGTAGCTCCCCCATACCTCAATGCTCAATCAGTTTCCAAAGCCCCCCATGTGCCCCCTCTGAGACCACATGGCTTTCCCTCACGATAGATGTTTATTTTTTGTGTGAGCTGTATTTCTGACAAATCTGATGCTCTCACCTTGTCTTGGAATGTGTTATCCAAGTACCAGTTATACGAAATGGCCTGGGAGTCCTTCTGTCCAGAGACACTCAAAACAACTTCCTCGCTAGTGTTCACTGGCTTGCAGTTTGCCTCACACCTGTAAGGAAGTAAGACAGTGGTTACAGGCAGTAACTCTGTGAGATGTCATAGTCCTTGATGTTGGTTGTTTTAATCTTGTTTAATGAAAATCTGCAAAAGTCCTGTGATATATGTCCAGGTGATATGACTCACAAATAGTGAAATACTCCATTTTAAAGCAAGAGGTTTAGGAACCTTCATCTCCATTTTCAACAATGACTAAGGCGCAGAATATAGACGCTATTTATGTTCAAAAACTCATTCAGGCTCTCAAGTGAAGCCTACCTAATCTCCTAAAATTATTATATTAACAGACCATCGAAGTGCCGGTGATGTTCCAGCTTCCCAAGAACCAGATTTGTAAAGCAGTAATGTGTATCTGGGTGTCTAGTAGGCATTTCAGACATATCTTACAACTTTTATTCCCGTCATTTCAATGAGGTTTGCATATGGAAATCTCCAGCACTGAAAGGAGGTAGTGGGAGTCAAAATGCCTAAGTGGTTTGGGAAAAATATTATGCAATTTATAAAAGGATTATGTTCAGAAATGTGAACTGGAAAATGCTGCAAGACCCATTGTCTTTAATTCCTTTGATGGTAATAAATAAATGGATTTACAACAATTAGTAAACTATTACTACTATTATTATTAATGATAATTGTGGCCTTGCCCTAGATTTGTGTAGTAGTAATATTAAATAGTGAACACCAAGGTTTGAAAACAGACCTGATTTCTAGCTGTAGTTCTTGTTTTGCAGTCACATAGAGACATTGCTCATCCTGTTTCTCTTCATTCCCACGGTTTTGGACTGTAACCTTCACAGTCACTGCTGACTTCGGAGGAGGAAGGCAAGAAGGTGGGATCTGCACCTCTCGTTGGTTGGTTAAGATTATCTGGTGCTGCACGCATTCATTCCACTCAGGCCAGCAAGCTCCTGCATGAAATTTCTTTTATAATTAGAATAATTGTAGCATCCCATGTCCCTCATAAAGGACTTGCCTGGCAGCAGCTCCAAAGAGCTTTATAAAGTAAACGAGTTTCCTTAAACCAATTTACAGGGTGGGTAACCAGGGTTCAAACTGATTTCTTCAAAATAATATATGAGGTCAGGGATAAGTAGGAGGATGGGACACAGATGTTCTGAATCTCAGTCCTGTTTTCAGCCATAAATATTCTTGCATTAGGTTTGATGCTAATTATTGCAATTTTATTGACACATACCTTTAAAATGCCTAACTATGTAAGTCACTTGCAATTAGGTCTTCGCTGGGGGGGGTAAAGGCTTAGTATGGACAGATCTTGAAAACTAAAACCTAGGAGCTGCCTTTGGGAAAAGACAGAACTGTGTATTGTGCATTATTACAGACCATGGTTAGGTGGGTGTTAAAACCAGAATAAGGCAGAGGGATGTTCTTCATATACAGTGAGTGGCAAATTTTTATAAAACCAGGCAGGGGACTAAACCGTCCCCTAGTCAGATTTTCACAGCTTGGTCTAACATGACAATGAGTTTGATGCTGATGAAATAGAAATTGGTGGAAAAGCTTCAGGAAATGCACATACCACAGGACCAGAGGAAACTAGAATTAGCGCTGTTATCTGGCCAGCCAAGAGTAACGGTTGTGAAAGGATCCACATGGCGACTCGGTTTAATATATATTTTGTTTTTTCTTTCGTGATCCTAAATAATAAGGAAATGTACCAGTTAGGAGAGTAGCATGTATAAACACGTACATATCTTGTTTCATATAGAAATGGAAAATGTGTGTAAGGTTAGACCCCAGATGCAGATCTGTAGTTTAGACGATCTTTCCCTAAGCAGTGTTTGTATGGGAGTAGAAGCTACGGGAATAGAAACACATAACACAGAGAAATGATGCGTGGCAAGATACTCCCAAACTCACACCCGTTTAGGAGCCCAGCTCCTACTTTAAAAATTAATCCAAGTACTTAGGAAACTAATTTCCATTACTTTTCCTTTTTTGGACCAAGACTTTTAAGCCTTGGACAATCATTTGTCTTGTAGTGTGTTTTCTGGTACATCTCTTTTCTATCAGAACTGGATACATTACAGCTGTAGTTAAAGAGAATAAGAAAGTAGCTGAATTTGTCTTTCTGTGCAACAAACTGTGATAAACTTACTTTTAAATTAGTTTAATATTCCTCTGGTGCAATATATTCTTACAGCCGATTTGTAAAGCATGATGCCTCCTTGTGAAGCAGCGTCTCCCATAGCAGAAGTCTGTCTGCTAGGGTTATAGTTAAAAACTCGATCTTCAAGATGATAACAAAATGTTATATCTAGCAATTCTCGATTTAACTTTGTGCAGCTGCTGGCAATTAGTGTATCATTAGTTTCTCAGCTTGCCATGAGCTGGAAATTTCTTTTTCACAAAGTAACTTAAACATCCCAATACAGAAGCAGAAAACACTTGGAAATAATATAAAAAGGTATTAAACTCTGCTTGCAAGATAGCCCCTCAAAGGAAAGTTCACCTTAGTCACATAGATAATTTTAAAATTTATCTAATCACATTTCAACTTCCAAAACTGGATCACAGTGAAAAGTTCATTTTCTCTAATATTGGAATTGTTATTTGCAGGCTTTTACGAGCTGTAGGTTGAATGCCTGCAAACACATTTGTCTTGGAGATGCTTGGTGTAGATTCTATGTTAAACTATTCGGGGCACAGAAAATCTAGTCCATAATCTAATATGTTGCTAATACCTCTTTTTAATATCTTCTGCAGCACTTTTACTAGCGAGAGGAATTTCTAAGCATGTCAATTTTAAAGAAAGATCTTTAAATAGAACTTACGTTTGTCTTTTGGGTATTTGTTTTGGAGCTGCCTTTTTCCTTAGCAGAATCTGTTCAATACAGAACAAAACAAAACAAAAAAAGAATATTTTATTGCTACCTGTAAAGCTTTCAGACAGTCCTCAGTGAATTTACCTTAAATATTTGGCTACAGGCACTCTGAAAGATAGGGCTGTAAGACTCGGACTCCTGAATTGTGATAAACAATGTATTTTCAGGAGGTAAAACTGTAACAAACTGTCACTATAAATACTATAAATAAGATCATTGTAATTCTTCAAACATAATGGTGTAAATCAAAATCAGTTCACAGAAGTTAAGAAGTTCAGTTGATGTACACAGAAAAAATGAGGGAAAGTACTGGAAAAGTCTCAGTACTAAAGTCAGTTTATTCATGGTAAAATCTGCTTTTGTAAATGTAAGCATGTGCCATCTAGAAGTGTTTACTGACAGCATTTTATATGATTGCTGTGATGCAGATACTTCCTAGTTTTAGAGCTACATCCCAGGACATTAACTTCACTACTTAATTTTGAGGACAAGTAGCAAATGTGCAATATGTAATATGGAGAGAGTGATGCTAATTTATGACCACTTCAAAGCCAGAGAATCTGCTTTCATTGGGAAGAAGCCTCCACAAAAGTTTTCAGCACTATTGCTGGAAAGAAAGCAATTACTAGATGCAAACCATAAACACGCCATAAAATGCTCTGATTGCAGAAAGACATTTATATGGTAAAAACCAGCACTGCCAGATAAATGCAATTACCTTCTTTATGGGAAGTGTTTGCCAGCACATTGATGAGCCCGATATCCAGACTCATGTTTGAGAAGGCATTCGTGGCCACCACTTTCACTAGGAAAGTACCTAGAGAAGACAAAAGACCAATTTAGAATAGCAGCAGACCAGTCCATGTTTGTGACATAAAATCCAATACATTAAGAAAATCCTATTCTTTTCTCTTGATTGGTTTTGTTTGTTTGTTTTTATGAGTTTGAGGGAATGGTCTTCCTGTTTATCTCAGGTTTTAACTACTCAGCTGCCCTTGTTCTAGCACTTGCAATGCTGTTCTTTGTCAGCTGGCTTTGATACTACAACAAAGAAATCTAGAGATGTGCTAGTATTGGAGTACAAATGAGTTTAGACATCTTGAGAGAGCAGCTGTCTTGTTTTGCTTGAAGGGAAGGGATGTTCAAATGGGTATAGGGAGGCCCATTACAATTTCTAATATTGAATATTCTTAAAACATAAAATGAAATCATAATTAGCTTCTGGTGTTCCAGCTTTGGCATGGGATTTGAATAGTTCATTAGAGGAAAAAACTTTTTTATCTTCTGAAACTAAATTAACTCTTAAGGACAGTCTCCCTAATCCCATATTTTAAAGGCTTTGAATTCTTAATAATGAAAAGAAAAAAAAATGCTAAAAAGCTTATTCATAAGTCCCAACAAAAGCTACATGTTGGAGACTGATGTGCAGATGAGGATGGAGCTCCCTTTTTTCTTTGTCATCCATACTGAGAACTTTTGTTTTGTTTTTGTTTTTTTTATTACCATAGTGTAAAAAGGAGTATAAAGTTGAAAAAGTTATACGTATGGACAAACTGGAGGAAAATGCATTGTGAGTCAGGAAAATGTCTTCATTTGTACTTGAATCAGGTACAGTCATGAAAAAATGACTAGTTCACTACATCTTTTTAATTGCAAAATTCGGGTGAAACCTCGCTTTCCGTCTCCATATGGATACCCATTTGCCAGTTCTGGTTTTTTAGCTCACTTAAAGGCCAGTGCTGTTCATACACTTCTGCAGGACAGGTTTAAATGGTTATAAAAGTTATCAAATTCAGCTGTAAGTTACTGTCCCCTAGCCCAGGGTGCTGTGCCTGTTTATGTGAACTCCCCCACTCAGTTGTGAGTGTCTCAGAAGCAGAGATGTCAACGTGCTGTACCTTCAGAGTGCATGGGAATGAAGTATGTTCGAGGTTCCCCTGCAGGGCTGTCTTCCTCGTGAGAGTGAGTTTCATTAGATCCAACCACCTCAAACTTCAGCTTATCTGGGGCACCATGAGGAACAGAGACGTTTATCTCCAGATTCTCCCCCAGCTGCACAGCATGAGAAGCTAACACAGCCTGAAGACCAGAGACTGGCTCAATTAAGTGAACGGCAACGCTCCCAGAGATCTCTGATGCAGTGGTGTTGCTGGATGCTCGGATTTCCAGTCGATGCATCCCAGGGCCCAGCAGCTCCTGAGCAGCACTGTCAAGTGTCAGATTGTGCGGGACGATTCCTTCCTTTGCACTGGATTCAGCGAGCGTCACGTTACCTGCTAGTACAACGTAGGTCACTCCGTTACCTGCAGAAAGACAGATCAAAGTTTCTCACAGCCTATGTAATAGGCAATCCACTTCTAGCTGCTTTGTGCAGCATTCAGGTGCTTATAAAGGAGCCATAAGCGTACTGCAGCAAGGCAGCTTGAATAAAGTCTCTTTTGGTGCCTTTGTGCCCATTTGGCTCCCTATGGAAATCTGACTCGTTCCTGCAGGGAGTGCTAAGGCAGTCAATAGAGTTCAAACCCATGCTTCTGAATTTCACTTTTTAAGCATGTGGATCCCAGGAGCTTGAAGTGAGCACAAAGTACACAGTAGCAAATACGACCTGCTCAGTGGGGAATCCTCTTACCCTCTGCTAGAGAGGCATTTCTGTGCATTCCTAACTTCAAATACATAAATACTGCTACTGGCTTCATGTGGATTCACATGACTGAAGCTGTGGTCATGCTTCATCAGATTTGTGAAGGGGTAAAAAAGGTTTGCGTTCATGTTCAAAATACCTCTGAGAAAGAACCCCTCCAATGGAGCCGAGAGCATTCAGTTGCAGAAATGCAATGATTAGACGAAAATAATTCACTAAAAAGAAGGATTGTTTTGTGTAATGAAAATCCTGCTTCTGTCCCATGGGTAGGATCAGATTTAGCCTACAATTTAAAGCATGCAGAGTAATGAAGCTCACCTCCGTTGAGTTCAACTTGGATCCATAACACCTCCCCGTAGAGCGTTCGGCAGGGAGAGCCGTTCCCAGATTCGTACTGGCTGTAGCACCCAGTAAGGCTTAGTTCATCCAGCTTGTCTTGAACAATCACCCGCCTCTGTGCTGTCACGTGCCACTCGCTGGTGGTGCACTCCACGAAAACTGTGAACTCCCCAGGAGATGAATATCTGTATGTGACATTGCTGACCAGTCTAGAACAGAAGGAGAACAGCTGCCTGTGGAAAACTGTCCTGGAAAGTCTTATGTGCTAACAGTGGTCACAGTTCTCAAATTTCTGACCTGATCACCTCTGCTACACTCAGGAGATTGGAAATGAACATGACTGTTCACACAAGAGTATGTAGCAGTGCCCTTGATTTCTCTTTTCTTATTTCACTCCTGATTTACCTACTTTAGGATACATCAGTGGAAGCTGAGGCTGCTCAGTGTTTTGTCAGATCTCAAACCTTGCTCTTTTATTTTGCTCTATGTATGTGCGACTGCCATGCTGGAAAAATGTCTCTTCACTTCCTAGGACTGATGCAGCTTCAGTAGTGGTAGCAGCAGGAGATGAATGGATACAAGGAAGTCTGCAGTAGCTGCTATTACTGTTAACAAGCATCGGGAGATGGTAAAAAGAACATAAGGATACCCTTCCTGAGTGACACGCACCATGGAAGGCAAAGAGGTATTACTCCCAACACAATTCTCTCTGAGCTAGCATGGTGGCACCTAGTGAATGAAAAAAAAAATCCAGACGTCATCCCTGACAATGCGTATTTTTCATTCTCTGTTTAAATGAAGTAAAATGTTTGTTTCTAACTGGATTTCAGAAACATGGCAGTGACAAGACAGGAACAGAAAAAGCAGTCCCTGCAAGAGTGGGTATCAAACTGCATGCAGAAAACAGATAAGCATGACTGCTGGCCATAGGTGCAGTAAAAGGGCCTCCCATAAAACCAGCAAGCCTCTGCTTAAAGCTAGCAAGTATATTTCACCTAAAGGCTCTCTATTAAAGATTTTTTTTTCATGTTCTTTACAGCTACAGGCTTGTGTCTGTACCTCTGAAGGAATGTTTTCTATTTCTAGTATATTATGACTTTTTGGTTTTCATTCTTTCTACTCTTATTTTTCTAGTTGGCAGAAGTGGGATTCTATCAGTAGAGAAATAAATTTCTAGATTCATATTATGTCATTCCTAGCACTAGGACAATACAAAATCTGACTTTTAAATCAAGTAGAAAAGTGTTTGATCTTTCAAAGACACATTTTTTTGCAATTAAAAGAAAAATTCCAGAATTCCATTGTATTCTTTTTAAATGTTATCAAAAATACTATTTAAAAATACTCTTAAAAAATAACACTTGCCTATTTCTTTGGCAATTACTGACATTTTTTTCAGTTATTTTGTGTGCTAGAGATCTGTATTCAATTCCATTAGTAAGAAATCGGAATCACTTGTCTTAATAAGCAGAAGAAAGATTGTGGTTGGCAGCTTGACATAATATTTTGTATTTATTTCAAAACAAGTTTCTGCAAAATCCAAGTATCTCGCATGTATGGTCTGTTACCAGTCTGATTAATTTTTGACATCTCATCTTGAAGCATTCAATGAAATGCAAGCAGTGAAATTTGCTCTTTGTCTGATGATGTGTAAAGGACTCATCTTACGTTTGAGGGTAGTAAGGATCAACCGTGTGGCCGTCTCCAGTGCTGATGACACAGGAAAGGTTGCCAGAGTATGGGGAGAGCAGCCAGTTCAGAGTGACTGTGATGTTTTCAAAGATAAAGCATCTATCTGTTACAACCAGCTGCAGACCTGTAAAACATAATGACAGCATTCAGTGCCTTTGTTTGTCTGTGGTTCTTACATAACTCAATTGTTTTTCATGTATTGTTGAGAGCAGGACTTCTCCAAAGCAGAGCTGAGACTGCTGCCAATTTGAGTGCATTAGTGGCATGACCGGGAGCTGATTCTTCTCCATATCTACTGGTCAAGATTCATGTTGGAACATAATTTTATTTGTTTGTTTTATGTGTCTGAATTTCCTGGCTTTGTGACCTATCAAAAACCCTCTGGAGCTGTCAGTTAAGAGGAAAGCTACATTTTTGTGCCTTCAATACTTGGAGTGGTGTCCACTCTTCCAGATTCTTCTTTGAGGATGGAACAGGGATTTCAAGATAAATCGTATGCTCACAATGTTACAGCAAAGTGCTGAACAGGCTTTTGGTGCTGACAGCCCTCTCCCACTCACCTTCCTTGCAGTGGTATTGAACAGACAAATAGCTTCCTGAAGCTGGGCAAGGGTCTCCAAAGAAAGCTCCATCTGCTGCCACCTGGCAGGCCTGAAGACCGTGACACTGTCCTGGAAAGAAGTTTTACATGAATTTGTGGTTTTTGTCTTTGGCTGTCATAACAGCTCAGGTGAGAGGTGATTACTGAAACAAGAACACCAGCGAGGGGAGCAATATTTTGTCACTGATCTCTAGACAAACTCCTACAGCACTTTGTCTTTAGTGTATTTCTTATTGCCTGGTACTTCTTAGCACTGTTCCCTCCTTCCCATTTAGCCTCCTGTGGGACCCTCCTCCATCTCAGAAGTTCTTTGTGATCCTTTTTATTTTAGGAATAATATACTGTTCCATTCACTAAAGCTACTCAAGTACAAGATGAAATACTTTAGGGACCAGGAACTATATGACTCTGACAAACAATGCTATAAGATATTACCTGCTACTTCATCTTTGACACTGATCCAGCTACAGTCTTCATCTGTATCATACTGGAGAGGGGTTTCCAATACACAGTAGTGAGGGGTCTTCCGTCCATAGAAGGTCTCTCCAATTTGGATAACTTCTCCTGACCCACACTGTACAGTGGCATTGGAACTATCACAAGCAATGCTTTGGCCAGATTCTATTGGGGGAAAAAATCAGAATTAACTTTTTGAATTTCTGAAAAGTCCTGCTACAGTTCTCCATATCCTTTTTGTTATTATTATTTTTATTTTATTTTTCTTCCTTTTAAGCTAAACAATACTGAAAATGAAAAAATGAACAAAGCATCAAATATTTTTCCATTTTAGAAATCCAAAAAAATAGATTTATGCTCTTTACCATCTTAAGCAAAAATTTGAGAACATTTTTAGTAAAAGAAAACATTTTAAATAAAAAAAAATAAACATATTTTGTGGGAAACACGTAGCATTTATTTGACCTGTAGTACTGGAAGGTTTAAAGTTACTTCCTACTTCAGAAACCCTTGTGGCAGTGTGTGATTTGCATGATCCTCAGATAAGTGTGCTGGAGAAGGTCGTGCATATTAAGTACAGGACCTGATCCCATTTCTGCTACAGAGACACCTTTGTTCCTGTGCAATATTCGACTGACTTCATTTAGCAGGACTGTTAAAACGAGTAAGGTCATATCTCTAAAAGCATACACCTTATTCCTTGATTAATCTGGGACAGTTAATTATCTTACAGAATTCTTGGTATCCTGTAGTAATCAGGATATGTAATACCCCCAAGAAGTGTATGCAAAAGGCTGTTCTCATAGGGGAGTGTTGCAAAAGAATGTTTCTGTTTCAGCTGTCTCAGCTTTAACTACATTGTCCTCCAATGGCTGTTTTGATCATTCCCCTTAAGCACGTTGATTAACAGAGCCAATGTGTGCACACTGCAGTAATTGTGTGCTATTGTTATTTAAAGCTAAATCTAAGCCTGGCTGTAGCTATAGCAACATGATCAGTTTATACGTTAGAGCTCTCTAAATAAGCTTGAAAAATAACTTGCTGTTATATTCTAATACGGGCTATTATCTCATGCATTTATCTGTTCTTTACTTTACATTAAGCGTTGCTGTAGTATTTGCTGTCTCAGCAACTTTTACCTGTAAAACTGTCCAGAACTGGGTTTGTGTTCTTATGGACAGTCCCTGGTCAACCTGTATATTTTTGCTGCATCAAATTCCTAAATTATGGAGCACCAAATGCTAGGATAGAAGTAGTAAGAAGAGTGAACTGAACTAAGGAAAGTTTTCACTTGAGTAGAGAAACGTGATTCTAGGACAGAGAGACAAAGAAGGGACGAAGGCAGAATGCTGTCTGTCTGCTTATTTGTTTGGTTGTTTTTGCACACATAAACATCTCAGGTGATCAAGTAAACGAGATTATCAGGAATCAGAGAGGTTCACTTCAACTAGTGATCCCATTCGGAGCTACCTGTACATTTCATGTGAGGTTTTGAAGTCGGTATCACTGTGAACCAAGCCTTGCAGTAGCTGAGTGTGAGGGAGTCAAACACCACCATGCCCATTTTACAGAAACAAACTGAAGCACTGTCAGGCTGCGCGAACCTCCAACCATTCAGCACCCAGAGGAATGAATGAAAAGAATGTCCCTGTTTCTTTCAGATATTAGATCAAATTCCTTACATGCAAAGCTAGTAAAAGAGGAGTCTATTATTGAAATATGCATGTGTGTTAATGCATATGGGCTGTAGATAAGGAAACCAAGGCTGTAATTGCTTTAATCTGTTCACAGTTTCCTGGGTAATGGAATGATGGTCAGGCATTGTTCAATAATGCAGACTTCTTTGAATTTAATGGGCTTTATGTCAGATCCTATAGTAACAGATGGTAGCTTCCTTACAGACAGTTGTCTACCGTGTTGTAATGGCAAAATAATGTTAGTCTGGTTTTGCATGGAAAATAAGCTTAAGGCATCGTGCTGCCTGCCAGTTTCCTCTCCCCCAGTCACTTTTAAGGTTTGTCATCTTCAGCCAAATTTGATATATAGACATAAACCTCAAAACACCCTAAAATTTTATGAAAATAGGTAAGTGGAAGAGAAGGAGCTGTATCAGTGCCCCTAGTAGGAGCAGAGATCATAACCAAACATTTATCTGTTCCATGATGGGATTCAGCTGCCAGCAGGTACAGCTGGAGCTCTGAAGCTGCTGCAGAACTGTGGGGATGGAGGGAAAAGTATTTTGAGAGGCAGAAAGTGCTGGGCATATGGGAGTGAACTGGGAGAGCGGAGGAGGAGGATAAGGGTGGGGATGTGGAACAGGAGGTCAGGACAGGAATCAAGTCGTTGTTAGTTTTGCTAATTGTGGAATGATTTGTTAATTATGTCAGAGGTAGTACCGGACTGGACCAGGGCAGTAGCACCGCTATGGCTTGTGATAACCTGGATTTGCATACTGGATTTGCAGACTATTTATGTTAGTGAGCCTACAGCCACACCTGCCTTCAGGTGCTTGTGACCTTAGTTCCAGTTTTAAATGCCTGGTTTACGTGCAAAGTGCGAGGAACACAAATTCCCCTCGTATCTATGTGTCGGATAGGATCATGCTGCCAGCATTCCTTCCAAGGACTGTTCCAAGCCGCAGTTCCAGGGACATGATGTCTGTACCTTTTTCTGTCTGAACACTAAAATGCCACCAGGAGGGACAAGCTCCTGTCTGCTTCCTTGTCCTGGAGAAGCCCTCAAACCTGATAGGAGGGTCTGAACAAGAAAAACTTGCTCTCACTTTTGCTTGCTCCAGGCTGCTAGAAAAGTTATCTCTGGAAGCCCAGCTGTGTTTTTGCTTCTGTGACAAATTATTTTGATAGTCTTGCCTTGGCCCATGTTTATCATTACGAGTTTAGATACAGGGCAGTCATACTGGTTCCACCTCGCTCAGGTACTGTGGTGTTGTGGCAGTTCATATTTGCACCCATGCTGTTATGCACTGCTCAAATTGTCTTTAAACTAGTTAGCTTATGTGTGCTGTAGACACAGATTGCTCCACATTTCAATTCACTCTGAGATCTGTTTCTAGTTTGCTAGTCCTCTATTGGAAACCTGGAATTCACAGGCTAGTTGCTGAGCACCTACAGATCCCAGTGATTTTAGGGTTCTTCCTTTCTTTGAATCAGATCATCAACAAAGTGGAAAAAGAGCCCCTGATGGGGTTTACTTTTTTTTTTTTTTTTTTGCTTGTTCATTTTTAATAAGCTTTAGGTTATTGCACAGCCACTTTGAAAGAAACAAGACAACTTATGCTCAGTTGTGAATACAGTATGCTCACTTCTTAGATCCAGCTGTTGTGTATCTTACCAAACTCACAAATGAAGTCAAACTCCTGGCTGCAATTTTCAGTCACACCCCACTGATACTTGGCATTCTTTAGGATGTACCCACATGTGGATGAGAAAGAAGATGGCTGATCCTTGTACCAGTTGCTGTAGCTTATATCTGAGGTGTCCAGCCAAATCATTGACCCTGTGAACAAAGTAATCAGTTCCTGAGTGTTTATTTTCCACAGTAACACAACTAAGGAGTCAGAGCCTACAGAGCGAGACTGTATCCCTGCTCCTACTCAAGCAAAGTCGGTTTTGTCTGAATAGAGATCTTCAGCTTCATTTTACATGTAATCTGATACAGCCACTAAAAAAGACACCACTGCTTCCCCCTGCTCCCAGCCTCCAAATTCCACCATTCCCTTGCATCAGATCTCGCAGCATCTCCTAGCATGATGAGTTAGCTCAGCTGGCTTGTCCACTAGAGAACCAACCCAGCATATCTTTTTAACTGGGTTAACTGATCTAATTCACCATGTGTTTGCACAAGCACAAGATCCAACGGAAAGGATGACAACATGCAACTGAGAAATGAAGCACACAGCTAGAACATCGTAATAGAAAACTAAATTACAGCTACAAAAGACATTGTTTTTTCTGCAGCTGTCTATAAAGGGATTGACTGCACTTGCTGTCGTGGTAGGTAAGCATCACAGGCTGGTACAGTTTCAAAGAAGACGTGATTTCAAAATCACCTACCGTCAGTAGTTTCATTCAGCAAGGAGTTTGAGATCAGTCCTATCCACCATTCCTGATCCTCGGCAATATGCTTCTGCAAGAACTCTTGAGTTTCCTCGTTTTCAATAAAGACAAGGTGCCCCCCTCCTCTCTCACACCATCTCTGGGCACTTCTGAAGGATCGCTGGAGTCTCACAAACTCATAGCATGAGTGGTTGAAAGCTAGCTGATACTTTGAGCAAGGGATTCCTTCCTCAACTGGTGTCTCCTCCACAGCCAAACATACAGCAAGAAAAATTAGAACTGTGATCCCAAGCCACATTTTCAGCTCGGTGCCCTGCATGGCACTGGTGTTGCTTATCACATCACCACTCTTTTTGCTGCCTTCTTCAAAAGCGTGAGTTATCATCCTTGTCATGTCATCAGTATTCCTCCTTCCTCTTTGCTGTTTGCAAAAGCAGCAATAGGACGTGGAACAGATTGCTTCTAATACATAATGGTGATTGCGTCTGAGGATGCACACAGCCGCTGTTGATGCTAAGTTACTGCAGTGGCCATTGTGAGGCCCATTGTATAAAGGTGTCACTCCACATGAAGTCAGGTTGAAGGGAAGTCATTATGGGATTGCTTTCCTCGTGAGCAGAAAAGATAAGGTTGATGTATGCTGTTACTGGACACACGCGAAAGTGAGATAAAGCTCCTCCATCAAAGGAGTCATTGTGTGAGCATTAAGGCTGAATGTCTTTACAACAACAAAGAGATACAATAGTAAGAATGAGAGAAGGATGAGGGAAATCAGAAACACAAGGAATCATGATATGGGAAAACATGTGGTGTTCCTCTAGATACATTTAATTGTTTTGGATTACTTTGTTTTTAATAATTATTATTGTTTCAGTGTGATTATTTGAGATGCTTCTCAATGTGATGCCTATAATTATTGTATCATTCATCCTGGCCACCTGTTTACACACCCTGAGGTTAATCTCAGCTGTTCCAAGGAGGATGTATTTTGAACTGTTCTGTCTGTTTAGAATTACCCACCCCATGTGAAATGCTCCCATCTTCCCTTAAGAGCTAAGCTGCTTAACTCTACAGAGCTACTTCACTTTTTCCTGCTTGGAGGTAGAAGACAAGGCTAGAAGTTAATACAGTGATTTGGAAATGGTGGAAGTACTGCCTTCATCATCAGAGCTAGTTGGGAGCCATAAGCAGACATTGCAAAGTTCTGCTGATGGACTTTGTGAAGCCAGTCCAGCAGCATTTTGGAGCTGAAATCCCTAAGTACTTCTGAACTTTCTTACAGAAGATACCTGCCAGGCTTACAAGGCCACTGGATTAGCAGAAGCACAGTACAAATAAGGATCTGTATCTGTTGTGATCCTCATGCCCTTGGAATTACCTCCACTGAATTTGATGCAACTATTATTAATTTACATCACCACAACTTGACACTGAATGAACATGCATTTATATTTGGACGTGGCTCAGTGAGCCAGGAGCTGCATCACAGAGATGCAGGAAGCAGTCAGTGATCCTTGCTTGAATTCCCGCACTGCAGAAATGCCAGCAGCATTGCACTATTGACCTGAAGGTAATGCACTTAGCTCAGAGTATGCCAGCCCAGCTCTAACTATCTAAAGCTTTCTGACAGGGTAAAGTATGTGCACTCCATCCAGTAAACATTTAAGAATTGTCTTCAGTCCCAAGCCTTTCTTGACCTCCACTTCATAGTCAGTCACCTTGCTCAGCTGGGTAAAGCAGAATTATGATCACATGTTCAAGAAAAAAATCATGGGTAATTATTTAATGGACAGGACAATTGCAGAGGAGTAGAGGAAAGGGGAAGAAAATGCCCTGTGATGGAAGGACAGTAACTGTGCTAGATGTCCCCCCTCCCACTGAACGTGATAATAGACTTATCTCAGCTATGGAACCCTTGGACCAGATCCCACAGCAATTTCTGTCTGATTAATAGTGAGGGCTGATGCAGCAGCTGAGATATGAACATTCAGCCTGGATTTGCCACCTCTGAGGATGGCCGGTCCATACTCTGATTATCTGATGGATCTGGCCCAGGCAGTGCCCAGGCACCCCTCCCTTTCCTGGAAGAGACCCTGTAACTATGGTTATCAGCTGGTTCTGCTGAAACAGTTGATAACCTGTTGTGGATTTTGCCCACAGATTAACAATCCCTTTCGGGCTGCATACAGAACCTCAGAGGTGTCATTCTGGGACCTCCCACAGTATTGCAAAAGTCAGAGCTGAGGACAGCTGCTGGTCAGAGTTTACCACTGCATATTTTCATGATGTTCCCTTCAGATTGCTTGCTTCTTCTTGGGCCATGCTGACTTGCCTGGCTTTGGAGAAGCCAGCAGAAAGCCCTTCTGTTTTGGCTTCTTTTATATGAGAAACACAGCCTGTTTCTGAAAGCATAGGTATGAAGAAGTAGACTGTACATAAAGGTATCTGACTCAGTGATACTGAGTATTTCCAGTAAGTGCCATTGACTCGTGTGATGGATTGATTCTGTAACATTATCCAGTTCTCTCTCTTCAGCTGGAAATCTGAATCCATGAACATACTGCTAAAAGTGCCAGAGCTGGAGGTGCCACAGGCTGTCCTCTGTGGATCTGCTCCAAAGCCATTGAAGTTAATGGAAGTCTTGTCTCTGGCTTTGGTGAATTTTGAAACAGGCCCCCAGAAGGACAACTAATGTTTGGAAATGTCTACAAATGAAGCCAAGCTCTCCAAGTGAGCCTACAGTTAGCAATTTCTACAGCACTGTGATTTCTTTTTTCCTAATCTACAGTTGCTCCATGTAACTCTTCAACTGCCTGCAGCAGATGGGGAATGAAATAGTTTTCCTCTTTCAGTTTGTTGACTTCATACCTTTTAGTGTCACTAAAGCAGGCTGTCAGTTTATTCTGTTTACCACAAAGAAAAGAAAAGCATTTACAGAAAAGAAAATACTGCTTTTAAACCATCAAAATTAGCAACCAGGGTCCTCAGGAAGAGAGAAAATTCCTGAAAGCCCTTTTCACTCAGAACTGAAAAATGGCTCGATTTCAAATAGTGCTGCTTGAATTTACCATTTTGTAGGAAACTTTTTTTTTATTATTCTTCTTCAACAGAAGCACATTTTTAATTAGTTTTCTTATGCCAGAAGTCCACATGGGAGCTTCACTGGATAATGGTTTATTTATTATCATTATTTTTTGTTGCTTGCCTTTGTGTAACTGGCTATTAAATTTAAGAATTTAAAGAGTTTAAATAGTTTAAGAAGTTACTTAAAGTGCTTTGCTTTGTTTTGTCTTGTTTTGTTTTTAAGGAATTTTGAGCCCCTCACATATATCCAAGAGTAGTTCATTTCTGTTCAGCTATAGCTGGCTGCCTGAACAGCTGATGTAGCAACCACCCTTAAAGCACGTGTTATGTACCAGTGACTTAAACTAAAACATATTCACCAGCAGAAATAGGGCTTGCAAGGCAATTGTGCTTTGCAAAGCAATTGTGCTTTGCAAGCTTTGACTAGAAATTAGTGACAAAGGTTTCTCAATATTTTCACACCCTCACTCCAAGCTGTGATAAAGCTATGAATAAGTCCTTTGTTTGTGAACCCTGGTGCGCCTGTTGGAATAAGTCTTTCGTTTTTCCCAGAAATGTTACAGGGGGCTCTGCAGATTTCTCAGAGTCCTAACTTGCCCTTATGAGTTACACCAGATGGTGGCCATAAAGAGAAAGTTTCTTTGGCAAAGCATTGCGCTACATAAAACATCACAAAAGGCAATGATGAATGATTTATTCCTAGTTTTCAAAGGACGCTTCAAGGTTTATTAATTTGTTGTTGTTGCTGTTGGAAGTAGAAGCTGTTGAGGTAAAAGAAAACAGAAGCATATTTTATTAATGACACAAACACATACAAATAGATGTTAATAATAATAATAAAAATGGCTTGCATTGAGATTCTGTAAGGAAATCTTCTAGGTGGTCTTCACTACTCCTAAGAATTGAACCCTTGATAACTGTCTCAGGTTTGGTAGCCAAATCTCAAAGTACTCATAATCTTTGATTTAAAGAGTTAAAGAATTGAAGAGTTGCCAATAGGAAGGAATAAATCACACCCCTGTTCATTTTGGCTCTTGTTCATTTGCCTTGAGGAAGAGCAAGTAAATTTACTCTCTATAGGATATTTCCATCTTCACATTCCTGAATATTACCGAATGTAATGTATAGATTTTATCAGGAATAGAACTGTATCTCTGTTCTGTGAAGTGCACAATCATATACATGGAAATTTGTTTTACATTGCTCTATCTCTGAGCTAGAAGAAAGATGATTTTCAGGTATCGCTAACTTGAGCCAAGGTTGTGAGTTCCCATTTCGATGTGTCCCATGCATACCCACTGTGTGCAGAACTGCTTCTTGAGAAGATCTGCTTCATTATTACCCAAATAGGAAGTCCTGAGTACAGAGCAGACTGCATGGAAAGGGATGGGGAAAAGCCCCTAGGTATACATACATCTTCTGTCTCTAAAGACTGCTTTAGAAAGGCCATCTGTCAACTGGTTTAAGGCAGAGGGGTCACTGTCAGGCTTCCTTCCTTGCTGCTGTCCTGAGCTGCTTGTCCTTTTAGTGAGACACAGTTGTTTGCTGAATCCAAGGGGTTTGGTTTTGTTGCTGTTCTAATGCCTAATTGTCCATGTGGCAACACAGTGAACTTACCAGTGAGTCCTGCCGAGTTGCAATTGTGATGTTATCTCGTTTAGAAAAACAGAGAAAACAATTCTTATCTTTATAGGGAGCAATGATTAATGTAGAAATCCATACCTGGAATGATAGGGTCAGGAAACGGATTAGTAGGACTGCATTCAGGAGTTGCTGGGTTGGACATAATTTCTGTTTATGGGTTGTGTATGGTTACCTTCTGGCACAGTAGATGTCTGGGTAAGTCACCGAGGGTCTTGCCTAGGAAGTGTCCCTTTAGAAGTGTCTGCCTTTGGGCTTGTAGTTTGACTTTTCTCCCTTGCCAGAGAGTTGATGCCCAAACACCACCCCCTCTCCCAGCTGGCTCCTGTGCTTTATTGCTGCCCACAGCAGAAGTGTGACTACAGGCAAGAAGAGGAAACGTGTGCCACGTAAGAATGTTAATCAAGGTAGGGTTATTTACTGAAATCTCACCAAACCACCAAAACCACATAAATAATTACTTTGAACCAAATGATACTGATCAAAACAGTATTTGATCAAGGCAGGTTTGATCCAAACAAAACCTGTTCATAATAATATACGGAAACTATTGTTATTTAAATGTCAACAATTTCATCAACAATTGATGGTTTGTTTTGGTAATTGTACTTGGACAGTGCAAGAGAATTATTCCTCAGTGGTGCTGAGGAATTTTCCATATTTCTTCTGAAATGAGATCATGTCAATAAGACAGCATTTAATAAAGATAACTGTTGGAGCTTACATCTCCTGGTACGGTGAGATAGCAGTCAGTATGAGTTCAGCAAGAACAACTCCAGGTTTCTATCAGTTTTACTGTTGAAATCTTTATTCGGTAATAATGGATAACAGTTGATAGCTGGAAGTTCTTAGTGCCGCCTAAAGACATATTCAGGTAATTTGACCTCTGTTAATGGGTTTTAATTATAACCTGAATTTTATAATGGAAAGGTTGAGATAAAAGTAAATTAAGTAGGTACTTATATTTCAGTATGGAGATAAGGAATAATATTGGTGTCTCTCTGATTTATGAGGCAATGATCTACTTGTGTAAGGAAACCAAAAGTACAAAGGTAGACACCTGGCTGTTACATTACTCTTATACCAGAAGCTTAATTAACTAGCAGTTTGAGCTGTACTCAATGCATAGCTATTTATACACACAGAAAGTAAGCACGGTTGCAAATTTACAAGAAGGCAACAAGATTTACAATGCTATTCTGCTGTGGAAAACTTTGTTTCCATTGAACACCGGGTGTTTGAGGGTGGTGAGGCCCTGTAGATACTGTTCTAACGTGACCGCTTCTTACAGTAAGACTGATAGATGCCTTTCGACTACACTCATGATTTTATATTACAGCTCTTTTCCTTCCTCTCTAAGTTGTGAACAACTCTGCTCTCACTTCATTGCAAACTGTCCAATTAAATGGCTTCAGTAATATGGCAAAAATCTAATACTACAGAAAACTGTCTGTTCTTCATACAGACAGCACAATCTCCCTGAATTTATACCCTTCTGGTAAACATTATATGTATGAGTTATAATGTGTCTGGTAAACCCAAGATCAGAGAGATTCTGGTAGTCTCTCCTAAAGCCAGAAAAGTCTGTATTTCCTGTAGGCCTGGGAAAGGCAGCAGCTCCCTTTTCTAACCTCTTCTTTATTTTGTTCTGTATAGGAAGTTTGAGCCAAAGCCAGAAAGCAGACAGGAAAACATTAATAGGGAAGAGCCTCAGATTCATCATAAAGATACACAGTTTTGTGCTGACAAAGAACTTCAGCTCTTAGGGAAGGTCCTGCTGGTAAAACTGAACTTCTTCTTTCTCATGGAATATCAAAATAAATGAGAATAATAAGGAGGAGTAGAAAAGATGTCTCTTTGTGTTCTCTAGAACATGGAATTTTGTAACCTCCTCTATGCTTTCCCATCAAACATGTTTCTACAAAGGAGAAAGAGACTTTGTGAAATAATAAAATTAGAGGAGTCACCCAATCCACATCTACTCCTCTGACAATTACACATTATAATTTTAAATAAATACTTTGATATTAATCCATTTCAAGGTAAAAAGGGAAAAATTGCACAGTTAGCAAGAAAATTAATTTCTGCATATCTTACTGAACTGGTCATCTATTATTAACATGACTGAGACAAAAAAAAAATAGTGTATGTTCTCTGATGAATAAATATTTTTCACAGACAAGCAGGAAAAAAAGAGCTTTGCAAGGCCTCTCTACTAAGTTGTACAAAATGTCAGACAAAACTTACAGGCAGACACCTTAAATTAGCTAACTGAAAACACTCAGGATGATTTCAAAGGGTGTTCAATACCTCCTTGTTCTTCCCTTAAAGTAACTTTTAACGAGGCTTCCAGTTATCTTACGTTAGCTGAATCTTAAACTACATAAGCAGGGTAAAGAAGGGCAAAGATGGTTTGCAGTAATCTTTTTATTGCTTGCTTGCTGTACATAAATAGCACTGCTACAGATCAGACCACTCACACAACTTCTGTTTCTATGAGGCACAGGTCAAGCAATTAAAACCAGAGCATTAAGAGCTGTGGCTGTGTAAATGGAAGATGTGCTGAAGAGAACATACTAAACCAGAGCAGAACATCAGGGACAGGCATATATATATATATATATTTGTGTATGTATGTCAGCATGTGCGTACGTGTGGGGACTTTGACACTTCTGTCTCCTACAGCGTCCTGTTTCAAACACGCTGTTTCTTTATTAATACTACTGACTCCAACAAATCCAACCCTCCTATTTTCTTTTTTATCTGGCTTCTTATTTTTGTAGTCACCCGTTTCTGTTAGTGCTGTCCAAATGGAGACAAAGGCATGCTGTCTTGATGATTTCCCAAGATAAGCCATCAAAAACGGTGGTAAGGATGAGAGGAGCAATGTCTGTGTATAACAAGTGAGTCACAGCAGTCACCACAGCACAAATTGTGTTTTCAGTAAAATGAATATGGATATTTATGAATGATCCGTGAGATTTAATGGATGTTAAAACATTTTGGGAACAACAGTGATTTAGCTGAAAAAATCGGATTTTAGGGTAACCCCATATGAAATTGCATAATATATGATTGTGCAAAGAATCTTTTTATCCTTCATGTTCAATGGAGCCTGTGACTTGCTCTGCAATCACATGCTTTATATTGAAATAATTCTTTTCCTAGAGGATTTTAAAATTAGCAACATTGAACTCAGTTAAGTACCTTATCTCGAAACAAATGCATGAAGTTAAAAATCCCCCTTCTTTTTAATTATTCCTGCCATACTTTCACAGAGACTCCAAGAAGCCAATAACTAGGTGGAATCAGGTCACATATGAGACAATATTTATTTGTAAAAAGATGTTTAATTCAGAGGTGTGCCATTCAGTTCACTCTGGAATAGCTTGTATATAATGAAAAAAGCACGTGGCCATTCAGTGATGGTATTTTGTTAATTCATAGAATAGCCCAGTTTAAATTTCACAGCATGGAAAGAAAATGATGACACCCCACATGTTTGTCAGTTCCAAAAAGCCATATTCAGAACGGTGGGTAGACATTTCTTCTATTTTTGTCTCTGCTCCTGCCAGCTGGGGCAAACACCCCTACAAAATATCTAAAATTTTCTCTGCAGTGCTGAAGGTGATGCTTCAGATTCATTTTACCTGACTCCTCGGGTGTGCCTAGCTGCTTGAGGTAGGTTCACAGAGAGCAAAAAGGCAGGTTGCATTTTTCTTCCATTGAATTAGTGAAAGAGTTAAGGAGAATGTGCAAGTATTATAGCGTATGTGTTAAGGATTAAAGATCAACTATTATAAATCGATCTATAAGCCACTAGCCACTAGCTCGAGTTACACTTTGACCTTATCCTTCTATGTAACAGGAAAGAGCTTTTCTTAGCCCAGACAGGAGGGGTCTGCTACGCCTGCAGGAACAGCTGGGTAGAGGACACAGAAACCGTTTGATTACATGAGAGATGGAAACGATATTTAGTAAAAACAAAGAAGAACATCCAGAGTCCATAAAAGCCGAGGTGCAAGGTAAGTAAATGCAAATCTCTTCTAATACACGTGGTTATTTTGGTGTTTTCAAATTTGTAAACATTGAAACACTTGTTCACCCGAAACAGCACGGAAGAAGGAAACCGAGAAAGGGAGAAATGTCAGTGAACTTTGTTTAAAGGAATGAACTCAGATATTTGTGCCCCTGACTGGGGGATTTTTCTTCCTTGATGGGTATTTCTGTGTATTTTTCCAGAAAGTCTGTTTGAACAGGGTTCACTGAAGTCGGCAGTGAGGGACAAGACTCAGAATTTAATCTGGTGACACCCCCTCCCCCATGGCTCTGTTTAGACTTTCATTTTCTCTTCGCCATAACCCTTCGCTACCCTCTCTCTGTTCTTTCAGCCGAGCACACTCTTCCTTGCATCTTGGAGAGGGTCGCTAAAACTGGGACACTTCAGCAATAGTAATTCTAAATAGATAAGCAGCAGTAACACATGCCACTGTGTGCTGTTAAAAAGATGGTTCAGAAGGCACTCCAGTAAAAAATGCAGTGTCCTCCAGCAAGATAGCTTAAAGTGCTTTCTATGGAAGAATGCTTGATCAACTTAACATTTTTACTCCTTGTTTTACATTACAGAAGAGGGAGGCAAAGAGTTTTTTCCTACAGCTGTAGGAGATGTTTGTTGCTGAGAACCCCAATTCAATAGATGTATGCTGTGTCTTTTGTAGCATATAGTCTAAGAAATAGCAGGCATCTAATGCCAATTTTAAAGTCAGTTCCCAGGTAGGCTATATAAAAGCAGGCAATTACAACTCGCATGATGTTGCTGTTCAGTTTGATGGCTGAACTGAAAAAGATTTTGTTTCAAGTCAAAGTGCATTGTTTTAGTTCAAGGTGATTTTATGCCTTTCTAATTTTTGTCACTCGGAATAAAATTTTTCTATTGAAAACATTTGAAGTTGTTTGCAAACAAAACTATTGACCATACCTGATCTGCACTATGGAATGGTTTATTTAAACAAAGACTGAATAGTTCAGTAAATAAAATTAAGTATACAAAATATTACTTCATTGGTAATGATGAATCAGTATTTACCACTAATGAAAATTAAAGAGAACCCAGACCTCTTCAAATATTTAGCTAGCCCTGAGCTCTGCCCATGTTTTGGCTCCTTGTTACTCAATAAGTACATTGTAAATACGACCCCATATTACTGACGTCAGAAATAATTTAGCTCTTACTGTCCTAAAGACTGTGCAGCCATGTGATCACACAAGGCTTGATTGCTCTGATGCTTAATAATCTTCCAAATATTTGGAGATTTTACTGTGTTAGTTCATGTCCTCACATAGTACAGAAAAGTATCATTATTGCCGCTTTAGGTAAAAGCATGAGGCAAAAAAGATACAAGGGACACATTTTTTAAAACTACTTAGGCACTTTAGGATGCTGATCAGTACCCGCTGTTATATTTAAGTCCCACTAAGATGAATTTTGATCTGAAAACCTCAGTAGATGCCAATTTGCTCCCTGCTTTTTGTACTGGAAGTATGCCAGAAATTACACTGAATTACGCCAAGAGTTAGAGAATTTGCATCAGTTTTGTAGTGCTTTAAACAGAAGATCACTTTTTTCCCTGATTACCTATTGAAGGGAAATTATTTTGTTGGCTTGTCCTGCAACTTCTTGGGAATCTTTATTCTGATAGACAGGAATAATAACTAAACAAATTTTTTAGCCCTAGAAGCTGCAAGACGTTCAGTGAATTACAGAAATATCTGCCTTTCCTGAATGATGGGCCCCAAAACAGAAGTGATCCCACAAGACCTGAAATGCAGCAGAAGTATTATATTTTTGCTGGAGGGAAGGAAAGACTGGTTGCAGCAAAACACATGCAGTTAGCCTCAACTCAGTGTTACCAAAAGGTTTGCTGGTGCATGACCAGCAGTTCATGCTTACTGTATAGATTTCCAGTCTTAAATGACATTGGTAAGAGGGTAGGAGCACAAAAGACTACACTCACCATACTGCAGTTGTCAGTAGTTCTGGAGAAAATGCAGAATCTACAACCTTCTATTTGCAAATAACAGAAAACTAGAAAGGGAAGTGACAACGAGAGAAACACTTGCATTTGAGGCATATAAATAGACTAAATTTGTTTAGTAATTAATGCTTAGTAATCAGCCAAGCAAAAAATATGTATCTACCTTGAATATTTAGTTTCTTTCTAAATCTATTTCCTCCAAAGCAGTCTTTTCATTTGCTAGTCACAAACATTTACCCAGTGTTTGGTTTTCAAAACTCTTGCAAAATGCAATAATAATGATAAAATGCAAATCCATTGTGTCAACATTTTTTCTCTTCCTAATGTATTCCAGATCTGCAACTGTAATGAAGTTGTGTGAGAATTGTGGCACACAATATTAGTCATCTATCCTGACTGAGAATATATTTATGCAAAGCTGGCTTTTACTGTATATCCTTCCTTGCATTTGGATGGTTTATGCTTAATGTCATTTATTTGAAGAAATGGCAAATGTCCTTGCCTCCCTTACCTACAATGGTCAAAATTCAGGAATTGTTCTCTTGGAAAGTGGTCAAAGTCCCTTTAGGATCTCAGAAAGCCTTGCAACAAAACCATCACTACTTCTCCACAACCGCATCAACTTTGACAAAATTGAATATTTTAATGGGTGGGCATCTCTATCTGTTGCAAAGGTAGAATTATTAAAGACATATTTGACATGGGGTCACAAATTGGACCGTAAGGAGGATTAAATTTCTGAGCAGCTTCTTTATATAGAGATAGTGTTCACTGCAGAGATTGTGTGGAAAAGGAGTATAATATGTGATCATAAATATTCCCTCAGGAGACATATGCACAAAGAAGCAAGTGAAGGTTTTAATTTCATATCTGATATGCTTCTGCTCAGCTCTTTAACCCTAAAGACATTCTTTAATTGTTGTTATTCTCTATGTCAAATGATAGCTAATGTATTTCCCGCAGGGATTTGATGAGGAACGTTTTGTATTCAAACCTTAATAATACTTACACATTTTCAGTATAATATTTCTACCCACTCTTTGTGTTCAAAACCCCAACATTATGACTAATGTCACAAAAGCACTCCCAAAATGACACTACAATATGCTATGTAATTTAATTAAAGAACTTTTTACTGGAATTCATTTAGCCTAAAGCTTAAATTGATATACTGAAGGGCAGTACAAGTCATATATCCTATAAAATATGTTTATTTCTGATAAGCTCTAGCTTTTCCTGGCATGAATAAAAGGGTTTATACACATCACTTTAATATCTGAGTGCAAGGAAGAAAGGTCCAACTTTATTTCCTTCCTGTTTTTTAGCAAATTACATTCCAGCAATCTCTTGTTCATGTGGTAATCTCATATATTGGTATTTATGCAGAATATTACTAGTGCCACACTATTGATCACGTCATATTTTAGTTAGCCACAACTCAAATGTAATTATATGCTATTACAAATCTGGACTTAGCCCTATAGTCCATCTGCCTATATGAAGCCTATGCCCTTAGGAAAACTGTCCTGTAGCATGCCCCTTCCCTAAATGAATGAATACTGAAATGTCATTTTTGTTTGCAGGTCAGTTGCCCACTTGGTTGCAAGGGATACTTCTCCGAAATGGCCCAGGGATGCACACAATAGGGGACACTAAATATAACCACTGGTTTGATGGCTTGGCTCTGCTGCATAGCTTTACATTTAAAAATGGTAAGTTATGGCATGTCAGTTTACAAAAAGCTCAACAAGCCAAATCTCGGTGTTTTACATTGCTAATTCTCTTTTAAGTTTGATTAGCATTAAAATGTTCCAAGTGTCTGGCTATAACCCTGCAAAAAAAATAGTACACGTAGGTGTTATGTGGCTGGTGAGTCTGCCACAGCAAGCTTTTCTTTGCTAAAGGATATTTGCTTGACAGGTTCTTTCTCTGGCTTTGTCTGTGGTAATTTTCAAAAGAGCTCAGTATGAAATGATTGAAACCTGTCTGACCTTTGTCAGGTGAAGTCTACTACAGAAGTAAGTATCTCCGAAGTGACTCATACAACTGCAATATAGAAGCAAACCGAATCGTGGTGTCTGAGTTTGGAACTATGGCTTATCCAGATCCTTGCAAAAACATATTTGCCAAGTAAGCAATGCTTTTTCCAACAAGATTCTGCTATCTACCTCTCTCTCCAGCACAGATGTCTTTCTGTTTACCCTTGACGCATATATACAAACATGAAATCTGTTTTGTAAATTTACAATTACCAACTACTGACAAGGCCAGGAGGATACAGCCAGTAACATACACTCTATGGGTTAGTCTAAGGCAAATATTCTAAATCCACTTCATCAGTAATATTGTCTGTTTTATTCACTAGTGCAAGTAGATTTCATTGTAATTTTGAAAAAACAAATATTTTCCATGTGTTTCATGGAATTTTATTAAATTGATATTCTGTAAGGGGAGAAGCAGCAAGAAAGAAAGAAAAAGATGAAGAGATGGGGAAAGTATTAATTCAAAATTTATTCTGCAGAAAGATGAAAATTGTCCATGACTGAAATAAATAAATAAAAACCTGCTGTATTAAAGTCCATTTCTACGCCCCCTGCTCCCAAAAAGAAAGTGAAGAAAATTTTCAATTGTTTCTTGAGTCACAGGCAGTGCTTTGAAGTACTGCACCCAAAGACCTGAGCTAACCTTATGTTCAAAATCACAACCGCTTGGGGTCATTGCAATAGTTACTTTCATAGTGCTAGAAAGGATGACAGGCTATTTATGAGCCTGTAAAATTGCCTTTATATGGCAAATGCAAGTAGTTTATCCATCTTTTATTCCTGGCTGAACTACATCTAATGACCTCAAATTACATGCTTGGTAAGACCATAAACATGGATAGTTATTGCAAAATAACTATAACTTTGATACATTGTGAGTTGTTACTCTGACAGAAGATGCTTTTTTTCTTCTTTCTACAGTAATAGGATAACACTGGCATTTTAAGTCTATAAGGGATAGGAGCAACTTTGTCATGGTTTCAAATGAATATGATAAAATCCTACACTAGTAAGGAGAACTGTCACAGAAGCCTATATGTGAAATCAGATCTACTTTCAAATCATAATTTTGATAAGAGATAATGCTGGCAACAAAAATATACCATCAGCAAGTACATAAATCAATTTATTTTATGAGGGCACACCCTGAAAAGCCTAATAGCTTTTAGGTAGAAACTGTTAGGCCAAATTCTCATGAGGTATGCACAGGAGAGCATGTAATTAGCCCATCTTGATAAAGCAGTGGCTATCTCACAGCTGTCGGCAGGACTGGACCTGAATGTCCATTTGTGCATGGAAAAACCGTTTCATACATACATGTCCTTAATCCTCCCCCAGGCTAAGGGTGTTGCAGAACTTCATCTCCTCTGCCTTTCACGCTGTCCACTGAGGCAGTGGAAAAGCTGCCAAAAGAGGACACAGCAGGGGAGAGACAGACCCAGCTCCATTACCCTGCTACTGTGCACAGCCCGCACTGCACAGGGTGACTTCTGCTTCGTATGGGGTAAAAGCAAGTACAGATGCAGCTTATCTAATGAACCTATATGAAACTTTCCTCTCTGCAGGGCATTCTCATACTTGTCTCACACCATTCCCGAGTTCACAGACAACTGCCTGATCAACATTATGAAATCTGGGGATGATTATTATGCTACCAGTGAGACTAACTTCATCAGAAAAATTAATCCACAGACTCTGGAGACTCTAGAGAAGGTATTAAATGGCTGTGTGTCATTCTGGTTCCTTCTAACAAATACAGTTTCAGGCTGATTTATAAGAATCAGTACATGAAGTTGGAAAGATACATTTCTCCTTCTACTGTTTCCTTACTAGCACAGAATACTTTTTTAAATCATGGTAAAGTGAAATAGTGAAGATACCAGTTCATTTGAGAACTCAGGAGTTCAAAAATAAATCACAGGCAGTTTAGGGAAAAGCTGGGCTTTGGGCAATTTCATAATTGTACGCAATTGCAGACAAAATACCACATATTGTGCTTATGATGTGATTATTTTGGATGATTCCCATTATTATGTATCTGTAGTTATCAAGTGATTTACATAATTAATAATTCAGTAGGTCATTTATATATGACGACTTTTCAACACCTCATGCAAGATATTATTAAAAGCAAATCTTGACATATTGAAATATGCATTGAGTTTTCCTATCATGCATTAAAGTTTAAGTACAATTCCCAAGCTCTAAATTGAATAGAAATCTTTTTTACTCCAGAAACTGCTAGTCTCATAGTGCTATTAAATAAACTGCTTTCAGGAAGAAATGGGCATCTGTGGAGTAGCTTCTTTAGCCAATCCTCCTGTTGTCTTATGTGGCTCCAAGGAAGAGCTGAATGTAATTCAGATTTTGTACCTTGTTTTAGCCTTGAATTAGGAAATCATTTGAGTACTTGCATAAGTCATTTGACTGAAGTGTTGAAATTTCAAGGCATTTGGGTGGCATCAGTGGAAGGCTACCAGTGTTGAAAGGCTGGTGGATTGTGGGTGTTAGCTATGATTAATTTAAATGTCCCTATGCATCTCTAAAATCTCCTATTTTATCATTTTCCAGGTTGACTACAACAAATATATAGCTGTAAATGTGGCAACTTCTCATCCACACTACGACAGTGCTGGAAATATTCTCAACATGGGTACTTCAATTGTTGACAAAGGGAAAACTAAATACCTTTTATTTAAGATTCCTTCCTCTGTGCCAGGTAAGATCTGTCTTTTGTCAGTATTTTTTAGAAACATGTTAGCAGATTCTTTTCTTCTGAGGTCAAAGGGAGACAATACAGCTCTTCCAGAAACATACAATGCTTATTTTTTTTAATTTTAATGTAGTGTGAACTTAGTGTTAACTGCTTAGCCTGTCTGAATATATGTTATTACAAAGGTTCATCTTGAATACTATATAAACAGGATGTTTCAGTCTGAAGATCATTGCTTTTAGAGTTTGCTTTTAGAAGAATTCTACTTTGATTATCACTAGATACTCACTACAGTGAACTAATTCTTCTACAGGAATTTCCATACCTTGTGTTGTGATGTGTAGAGGGAGTGTGAACAGAAGAAAAAAAAATGTCTGTCAGGCAGTGTTCTACACTTTGAAGTAGTAAAATTCAATTTTCTTGATAAATGGATACTTAAAACACTTAAACAGTAATTATAGGGAAGCATAAAACCAAATAGTACCTAATATGAAGTTATTTCCTCTCTAACCTGGCCTACATTAGGGCTTGCTGAAATATCATCCTTTGTTCACAGAGCAAATCACTTGCTGTTTTTCCTTCAAGACAATGCATGGTTTAAAACCAGTTGCTAATGTGATGTCTGTCCTCATGTGTGAACAACCAAGAGACTTTCCATAGTTGAAAGACGCTTGTTATTCCTAGCTGGGGCTCAAACAAAGTCATTATAGATCAAACTAGAACATCTCTGTAGAAATAAGTTCAAAACCATGGGGGCATTTGAAACCCCATGTAAAGCTGCTGATTTAATTGAACAGCTTTCTCCTTCAGGAACTTCTGAAAATGTTTATCGGTGGAGTCAAATACTGAGACAAGAGGTCTCTGTCTGAATGGATCTGGCATTGTGGTCCTGTGCTGCTTCACTCAAATGCAACCTTCTATGTTAATTCTGCAGAAGGAAACAAGCCATTTTCTAAACAGGGAAATGCAAATAAAACTGAGAGGAACCTATACTTATCTACTCCTTATGTGGGAAAAATCTAAGCACAAGATTGAATTGGAATTTATTGTAAATGTAATCTTATTTTTTATCATTTATGTTCAGAAACAGAAAAGAAGAAATCTTGTTTTAAACACATGGAAGTGGTATGCTCCATCCCTTCTCGCTCGCTGCTCCAACCAAGCTACTACCATAGCTTTGGAATCACAGAAAACTATATTGTGTTCATAGAGCAGCCACTCAAACTGGATATTGTCAAAATGGCAACTGCTTACATACGAGGAGTGAACTGGGCTTCCTGCCTTGCCTTCCATAAGGATGATAAGGTATTTTTTCTAATGCTGAGCAATGGAGTCAGCCAGGCCAGAAATCTCTTCCACATTGTTCTGTCTTTCATCTGGTTCATTAATTTAAGTGATAACCTTTTTTTTTTCTTCAACAACTGATTTTCATGTTTCACATTTTTTTATTAGAAGTCACATTTTTTAATATTTTCTCCCATCTCCAAAGTTTCACAAATAGATACTGATGCTGAAATGCTCAAGAAAGAGGATAGTTGGGCATTCTTAGAAATAATGTGTGCCAAGAGAGAAAATTAAAAATGCACTATCATCCCCAACACAGAATTGCTCTTGCTCCAAAAAGAACACTGTATAGTGTGGGTGAAGTCTGCTCTAGATCCATTGCATCACGTATGAGAGCCAGATTGGTGGAGAAACCTGAATTCATTGTGGCAACTGAGGAGGGAAAAAAAGTGTGTTCTGAGGATCTTATTTCCACATTTTGTGTCCATGAACAAGTGGAGCATGCCAGGGTCAAGTGGACCAGCAAAGAATAGTACAAACTCTGAACTAAGACAAAGTTATTTAAATTAAAAATGGGCCAGGGGATTTTCCAGGTTTACTGGAAAACTTCTATCCTCAGCCTAGTCCAAACAGTAATTTGCAACAGTGAAATGAGTTTAGAGCACTTGTACACTCATTTTACTCCTGAATTTTTTTGGTCTTTAGGTTGGAAGTTCTTGCTTCCTAGCAGCAAATCTGGAATTCTTAATATGCTTCAGTAGAGACAGACAGTGCTTTAGAATGTAGATGGCCACCTGTTGAAAAACATTTTCCTAAATAACTGTTGATCATTCAGTAATGGTTTTAAATAATGTTTGCTGCCTTTCAGACGTGGTTTCACTTTGTAGACAGAAAGACTAAAAAAGATGTATCCACCAAGTTTTACACGGATGCTCTGGTGCTTTATCACCATGTAAATGCTTATGAAGAGGATGGCCACATTATTTTTGATATTATTGCCTACACAGACAATAGCTTATATGACATGTTTTACTTAAAAAAACTGAGTAAAGACTTTGAAGAGAACAACAAGCTTACCTCCATACCAACCTGCAAGCGATTTGTCGTTCCTCTGCAGTATGACAAGGTAGGAAGAAAATGATTTTTTAACTTGTTCTTTGATCAATAATTTAAAATTTATCAACTAGAAAAATGGGTGAATTATTAGTTGCCAGCCCTTTTGTGCAAAATTCTGATTCTTTAAAAATAACATATTCACAAAGTGTGCAGGAGTTTTCTTTTGTTTATATACTGTGAGAAATGGCAAGGAGCAGTTGGACATACAGTTATGTGGATCTAGGTCCTGATGCCTTTCTTTATGGAGAAAAAGGCTTTTGAGCATATATAATTTCCTTACCTGTGCAACTACTTGTAACATGCTATCAAATATAAGCAGATATATCAACCTGACTGTTGGTTAGAAAGGCATGCATAAGGTTTTGCACAATCTGTTTCTTCCACTTTACTGGAAGCTTATATACAATATATTCACATTCTCCACTGTTGCAATAGTTTTATTAAAATTAGAAGATTTAATTTAAGTTTGAGTTTACCAGAAAGAAGAATGATCTTATCTTTCAGTTTAATTTAAAACATAATTTTACATCACTGCTTGCAGGGAAGATTTTATACTGCCCAGCAACTTGGGCAAGTTTCTGCTTGATACATTTAGAATGGATAATACTTTTTCCATCTACATCTTAGAATCTTGCTTTATTTCATGTCTCAAAAACAGTCATGTAGCAATAGCAAAGGATGTGCTGGATCACGCCAACTATCCTACCTACCCTGCAATCTTAAAAATTCAGCAATAGCGTTAAAAACAAGAATGGATCACACTTATTTTTGTATTTGATTAAAAGCAGATGCAAAAAAACTAACCTTTGGTGACTTTTAGTGGGAATTTCCTACCTAATTTTTTAAAACCCATTTTCATTAATTAAATTTGCAATCTACATAATCTATTTATTGTGTTTCTGGAACATAACCATGTGTTTCTAAATGCTCAGCGTAATCCAAAATGGTTACACGATGATATATTAAGATTTTTAATGAAAAGGTCAGTATCTAATGTTACAGAATAAATGCCATTATGAAGGAACTTATTGCAGCTGTAATACTTGTTTAACCCCCTAGTTGTCTATATTAATATCAAACCTGATGAAAGGTCTAAATTAGAAGCATATTCATAGAAACACATTACATTTTCAGCATATGTCTCTTTCAGGATGCAGAAGTAGGTTCTAATTTAGTCACACTTCCAACTTCCGCAACTGCTGTAAAAGAGAAAGATGGCAGCATCTATTGCCAACCTGAAATATTATGTGAAGGTGAGGCATATCCATTACACAAATACTTTCTCTTACACACTTACACATAGGTGCATTCTAATAATGCTTAACAGCTCATTTTAATAAAGTCTAACAGTTATTTTAGGATACCAAGTCTGATCTTACAGTGACTAATATGGCTCGCAAATCTACCTGTTATAAGGAGTAAAATTGGTCTGTTATAAGCAGTAACTTTAGTTATGTATTTTATGAAGTATACCTTTGAAAGTGGATTTTTAAACTTGAGTGTGTATGTGTATGTGTGTTAACAGGAATATGGAAAAAGTGTGTATTTACTTAAAGTGAAAGTCATTTCTTTGAATGGCAGTGTCTGATTATATCTCAAATGTTCACTTCTGATTGATGTATTTATGAAAAAAAAATCCAATATAATGAATCCCTAAGAACGAAAAATTGTCATTCTTGAACCAACAACCCTTAATTGTGCTCTGTTAATATACATCTTTGGCTTTTTAAAAGTTCAGACATACAAAATATATGCAACACCTGTTTAAAATCCTGTCAAAATTTTTCATAGAGTAACATTTCCTGAAAATTGGCACATGTAAATGTACATTTGAAATATATTTCTTCTTTTGTTCCTAAGTCTTGACCTTTGTTATACCTAGGGATAGAACTGCCTCACATCAACTATGGATATAATGGCAAAAAATACACGTACGTCTATGCAACGGAAGTCCAGTGGAGTCCAGTTCCTACAAAGGTATCATTAACATGTACGAAGTCAGGAAATGTATTTATGTAACACAAACCAAATTTAAGCGGTTATTAGTAAACCATGGTTTATTAGTCTGGCCCAAAATATAGCCTCATCTGCATTCATACATGCAAGTGTGTGGTTCTGAGGCCAGGACTGAAACTGTTAAACCTTGGTTTTCCAGACAGCAAAACCTTTTTTCAACCTCAAGTTAAAGCTTCTAAGCAACAACACTGCAGTTGTGTACTATGTTTGTAAACTTCAACACCTGAAAGCAGGGAGATGAAAAGCTGGACATCGTTAGCTTACTTGTATGATTAAAACAGCCTCCCTGGGCCAAACTGTGGGAACAATAAAGAGCAAACAAACACTTTCTTACGGGTATGACTTGAGATTGCATTCAACAGCGAATTGGTTTCTGTCAAAACCTTTCCCATTGGTGAGTCATTCACATGCGGAGAAATATGGAACGCCTAAATTCTCCTATGGGTAAGCTCATGTAGTACTGTTCCCCTTATGAAGTATTAATAAACTCAGACTTCCTCATCCAGCTTTTTATTTCCACCAAGTCTTCTGAACACTGTAGTTACTGAGGCCCTCATTTTTCTGCTAAATTAGGTTGAACTTCGGTAATGTACCAAAAGCTCCAAAGACAGTAAGGGAAAGGAAGAACAGTACTAGGCAGACAAACATCTGTAATAAATATTTTTTCCCCTTAAGAATACTAACAAAAACAAACAAACAAACAAATAAACAAAAAAGAAGTTGTAGCAATATCATTTTTTTCAGAAAGCTTTACCTTTTGCCTGAGAACTAGTTGAGCATTAGAGGATAGTAAATGCATTCTTTGTGTACACATGATGCCAGCCTTTCAGGAGACAGCCTAGAAAACAAATAGATTAAGATGCAAAGTACTACTAGCTGAAGGTAAGAGTATTGTACAGTCAACTCACTCTTTATAATTACTGTTCTGAGAGCAAATTGAGATCGCTGTGGGTTCTTCTATATAATTACCACAAATGATTACAAAATAAAGCTGGATTTCTGCATGATGCAAGAAAATTTATTGCAGCACATCTGACAGTAGCTCACGCAAATATGCAAGTTTGTGATTTCCAGTGCAGATAATCCCTGCTTGTCAAATATAAATAGCAATATAGAAGATGTTAGATTTTTTTTCACATCAGTTAGTCTTTAATGAATGTAGTCACAGCAACAACCACGTATGATCCTTCTGTAAAGTTTGTAAGCAAAACTGCTGTCACCTTGGATAGAAGATTCTTCCTCCAGTGCCTGAATATTTCATTTTTGTGTGAAGTTATTTTTCTGACTAAACATCAAAAGAGAAAAGAAGAAAACTGTATCTGGATGGGTAGAGAAAAGCCCTTAATAGAACTGAGGTGAAAATGTCACGTGTCCCCGCTGGAAGCTGATTTGGTCAGGCACTTGACCCATTAATGAGATAAAATCTGCACGCTGTTCCTTCAGTTAGTACCAGTATCTGTGTGGCATTCTTGCCCATTGGTTTAACGTTTACATCACTACTAATAGCCTTTGTTCTGGCATATATACCCTAGTTAACAATAGAAGGCCTTGATAAATATTGAGGTCACAACAAAAGGAAAATAATTCACAGGATTAGAAATTGGAAGTTTTAAATCCTGTTTCCTGCTTTACAATAGAACTGCAGTAATTTCGGGAAAGTCATTTACATGTTCAGTGCCATGCACTCTTCGTCTGTATAGTGAGAGTAATATTTACCCATGATGCAGAGTAAATAGATCTTATGAAGTATTTGTGTTTGTAAAACACTTAAAGCCCCTATGCAATTGTAATCTAATGAAATGGTATCTGTGTCTCTTTTGACACTGCTGAAGTAAAATAGTCTTTATAAAATTAAAAGATCATTTTATGCTTATGTAGCCACTAAACACAACTCCAAAGTTTAGCATTTTCCAAGTATTTCCTTTCTGTGATGCCACATCCCTCATTGCTCCTCAACTCTTAGCATTGCTTCCCCATGCCCGCAGTCTGTTCACGATGTACCTTTGGAATAAACCATTGTCTGGGTCACTGACATTTTTCTTTTCTGTCCACAATGATTCAGATTGCAAAACTGAATGTCCAAACAAAGGAAATGCTGCACTGGAGAGCTGACCACTGCTGGCCATCTGAGCCCATTTTTGTTCCCAGCCCTGATGCAAGAGAAGAGGATGATGGTAAAATTGTAACAACATTCTGAAAGTTGGATTTACACAAGTTTTGTATTAAATCTTAAAAGTTTCATTGCTGTCAGTCATGACAAGAAAGCTAGGCTGATGCTTCCACAGACAGATTAAAATTGGTACCACCCATTTTGCTCCTGCAGATAAAAGAAAATGAAAAACAAACAATAGAGCAAAATCAGCTTGCATGAAGTCCCAATCTGCCCATAAACAATGAAATTAATGCTTAGGACTGTCCAGAGAGCCAACTGGAACTGGATTTATCATTAGGAGAAGCTGAGCAGTGGGAAGTCATTGTTACAAGATGAGAACATGGAGTGGCACTGCAAGTATCCCTGTAATCTCGATCCAGTTGTGTTCTGAGGCAATTTCGTGCAAAGGCAAATGATAAATAGCTGAAAGGATGTGTCCCAAGTTTCACTGCTCAGCTGCCCAACAAGATTGTCAAGGACATAATTCAGTGTTTGTTTGTTTTCATCCTAATGAACTGCAGGCAAACTAGGAAAAAGTACAGAAGAGAACCATTCATTAGTCCTTTAACTCTCACAGTCAGACTTCTTCATGTTGTAAGCACCTTCAGTTTGTGTTCTCAGATTCTTAGGAAACAACACTAATTTCCTGATAGTGTTATCTTTTCTGCTTGGTGTAATTAGTATGTGCTTCTAATTCTCCATTTGTATGTCACAGGTGTTGTTTTGACCTGTGTTGTGACATCTGATCCAAAGGAGGCACCCTTCCTACTCATCTTGGATGCTAAAACATTCAAAGAACTGGGCCGAGCCAGAGTAAACGTGGAAATGCATCTGGACCTGCATGGAATGTTTATACCAGAGAAAGCTTTGAAGACTGAGACTGAGTAAAATGCTATTTATCCTATTACACAGACTGAGACAACCCTCTACTGAATGTGGAGTAATACCCCTTTTGTCATTCAGGAGCAACTATATTATGGCAAGAAATGACTATATACATTATCTTAAATAACTATATATAATCCCTTTTAAGAGATAGCAATGACTTTTATTACAAATAATGATATGCACAACTGGCATATAACTATTCCAAAAGAAGAATGATCAGTCTTTAAAAACTGCTACTGTTGTGGGGGAAGGAATGGGAGACAAAGGTAGTTTTATTTAAGTGGAATACAGCTTTCTGAGCAAATGAAGTACAGTATTTTTAATGTGATATAGGGAATAAATAACGTATGTCTACAGCTCATGAAATTTTCATGGATTGTTTCAAGACTGTAGCTCATGATGAAAGTTGTCTTCTGCTAGAAAACCTCACATTAAACTATCTGCTATGATACTATTATATTAATTCATAGCAATGCATTTTCTTGGTGCTTGATTTCTTAAACTCCACTGTAACCAAAGTTAAGGTGCTACATTCAGGTGCTACAACTTCCTAATTTAGAACCTAAAAAAAAAAACCTGCTTTGCTAATAATTCCTTTTTATGATGACGAAACCAAGTAACTTGAATATTTTATGTAGCATTCATTTATACTTCAGTGTTATTCAATCTTAATGTTATAAGCAGTTTGTTTTCAAATCCTGTTTCCTTGAGAATATCTGACGTGACATTTCATGTAATTAGATGACTACATTGTCTAAAAGATAAACAGAAATGTAATGTTTATTAATATTGCTAATAATCTGTTAATAATAGTATGTGTATGGATAAGAGCAGTGTATTTCTAGCAGAACTCAGACATACACATTCACTAATTTGTTTAGGTAAAAGTGTATTTACTGATTAAAAGTGTATCTTTACTGATGGAGAAAACTAGGTATACCTCCACCTGTTTTAGGTGTGCATCTGGTCTGTACATGTCACCAAACTACTTGGGTATCTCTTTTGTGTACCTATTCTCAGTGTCCCTGCTACTCACTGTGTTTGACAGGTAGGAAGCAGAATGAAATCATTGTTGTTTTCTGTCTCCCCATCACATGAGCACCTGGGCTTTGGTGACTTGTTCATGATTACGTAAGATATTTACAGCAGAGCAGCAATTGAACTAACATCACCTGCAGTTCTTGCTTGCTCTGTACCAACTCCCTTTGCCTATGTCTTTACAGTACCTATAGAATATACAGCCTAATCTTAATGTGAAAAACATCACTGTGGTCAGATGTAGAGTGTACGTAAGCACTTTGGGCTATTCAAAGGTTTACAAATTCCAGAAAATGCAAATAAACACCTCAGTGAGATGTGTCTGCAAAAATAGTCACCTTCAGTGTTTACTAGGCATATTGCCCCTACTATTTAAGAAATTTTATAATCTAAATAAGAAATTGAATTCCATTTTTGTAAATAACATAGAAGCAGTATTGAAATGGCAGACTGACTTTGGATGTTGGGAAAATACCAGTTAAGGGTGATGCTCTTTCTTTTATTCTGTATATGTTCATATTTCACAAGTCTCCACAAATATTTCTGGAATTAAAAGGTGGCCATAAATAAAAAGTCTAACCATTATTAGACATCTCCTTTGCCTGTCTCCAGAATTTCATCTGAGAATTCATAGAGTTAAGCTTTCAGATGATCATGAGTTCTCCTGAATACAGGAGTTACTTGATTTCTAGGGAGCTAATTCATACTAGCAGAGAAGATATGATAGGGGATATTTATCATAAAACCAAATCAGATGGGTTATCTATAGTGTAAGAAAGCACATGTTTTATTTATATTCATGTAGAAGTACAGTAGAAAATAAACTGTACAAATTTGTCTTGGATGTGATTTTTTAAACAGTGTGCCATACTCACCTGGTCTACATTGCACAGGATTTGTCAGGTTTGTAGTCAACCTGAAGACAAAATGAATGATGTAAATTTGGATTTGCCGGTCTCAGTGTTTGATCCAGATCCTCCTACGTATGGATCCAGGCGATATGGATCAGACCATATAGCTAATCACAAATTTCTTTGAGACTGTTTTTAGGAGTTGGAATAGTAATGAAACATTTAGCATGAGTACAGTAATATACAGTATCATTTCTGGGCTGACACTAGCAAGGGGGAATGCATACGTGCTTTGCCAAGCGGCTGCAAGGCTCGTGGTTTTTTTGTTGTGGTAATGTGGCACATGGTAATGAGTCTGTCATTTGGTTTGCTCCCCTGACATCCTTTACAGTGAATGAAATCTTGAGGAACAGAAAGGTTTGATTCTTCTTTTGTACCGATTAAGTCAAAAATCAGCCCAGTAAAAATAGTGGAGTTATTGTAATGGCATAAAAAGAACCTACACACAGTGATTTCATATAAAAATAGTATGGATAGATTGCTCCTTTAAAGGAAAAAAACAGTTGAGCAAAAGAATCAGGCCATCAGTATACACACATAGTTACTTGAAAGATGTTACAAATGGCTCTCTAGTTGGTAGGAGTGGTTTGTTGTTGTTGTTGCTTTTTTTTTTTTTATCAGTGAGCTTCATTAAATGGAACAAATAACAAAACATAATAATTAATTTGTTCTCTGAAAGTGGATATTATCTGTTACACCTTGCCCATTGCCCCACATACACAGCAGGAGGAAGCAGAAGCACTGTTTACTAGGACAAGTTAAAAACCAGAAATACAACTATGTTTTCCTACATAATAGTCTGTGCAGGAGGCACAGACACAAACCAGTGTTTTTCTTTTTAAATAACCAGGCCACTCAATGGCAGCTTTCACAATAATTTAAACCACTGCTCCCTTGGGTATGCAATTACCGAAGTATTAATAACAACAAGCAAAACACATCTTTCACCAGCAGCACAGGATGCAGTGCTCGCTGCTTTCAATACTCTCCAAGAGATCCGGGGATGTGCCTTCCTCTGCATCGCTTCCACGTTTCCGCATTCCACTGTACTTACTCAGAATAAGGACATTTGACAGTCCGGATAATTATACCCAAGCCAGAAGAAGTGGCCTTCTAATACTTTAAGATAGGTATGTAGTATTAAAAAATAAGTGATGCAAAGGTGCTGGCGTTTCTCATAGATTTTTTAATGCCATCACACAGGACGTGAAACGCATTCGCTGCTGCTTCTAAGATTCCTGTTGAAAGCTGCCCAACAACGCCAGAGCATGGTACTCTTCTCCAGGACCCCTCTCCAGTCAGAAAGCACTTTGGCAAGGGCTGAACGGCAAACGCTGGCTCAAAGGTTCAGTCTTCACAAGGAAGTGCTTGGTGCAGAGTTCTGACTTACAGGGGTCTACATGTGCAGATGTCCTGGCTGAAATCTCCATCTGGAGAACAAAATAGCGCTGTGTCTAGCTCTGGGAGGACAATGGTGCCTTTGTAGAGCCATTCATGTCTCTTTCCTACAGGGACATTTCCAGATACCTTTACCCTAATTTTTCCAGCATTGAAATGACTTGGAGATGAGATTGAGCTGATTTAGAATGAACTATAAAATAAAATGTTAAGTTGTCCCCATTTCAAAAACATGTATTTTTAAATACCGTGATTGACATCAAAGAAACTGACTTAAAGTAATGCAAGTAGTAAAAAGCATGCAGCCCACCCCAGCTATACCAAGTCAGGCCCTCAGAAAACACATTTCTCCCCCAAAGTGGAGCCCCAGGAGTGGTTGCAGTGGGGTGCTTCACAGTGAGAAACTCGAATTTTATTTACCCGTCAGAGCTGGGGGCTGCGGCGAACTTCTGCTTGCCCCCGCCTGGCAGCACTGACTGATCCAGAACATCACCGCTTTTACAGCACATTCGCTCGCTGCAAATCGAGTTTCACTACTTAAATTTTGGATGCTGTTAAAGACAAAAAAAAAAAAAAAAACAAGCAGCAGACGGAATCAAGTTATCTCCTAATGTGCTATTAAGCCCGTTAAATACCCGGCCTAAAACCTCGTGAAGAATCCTTCTGACGAAAATCTTCGCCCGAAGAGGGCACGTTGCCAGCTGCAGCGGCACTCGAGTCTCACCTCATTTAATTCCCATTTTCTTACTTCTCCTTATGCTAACACGCCTCATTTTCACCTCCAACCCGTGAAAAAAAAAAAAAAAAAAAAAGTGATTTTTTTTTTTTTTTAAGTGATTTTAACCACGTTTGAACTCGGAGAGAGTAACTCGTACAGAACTGGCGGTGGGCTCAGGGGTACAACCCCCCCCCCCCCCCCTCCAGGCGCTGAGGGGGGACCCGTGAGGCGCTGAGGGCCGGGGCCGGGCCTCGGCAGCCCCCGCCCCGTCAGGGCGGCGCGGGGAGATGATGTCAGGGCGGGCGGGCCGCCATGGTGCCCGGGCGCTGAGGGAGGCGGCACGGCCCGGCCCGGCTCGGCTCGGCACGGCTCGACCCGGCACGGCACCATGTCGGGGCCGAGCGCCGTGTCGGATCCCCAGCACCCCGCTCGGTTACTGCGGGCCCTCAGCTCGTTCCGCGAGGAGAGCCGCTTCTGCGACGCGCACCTGGTGCTGGAGGGCGAGGAGATCCCGGTGCAGAAGAACATCCTGGCGGCCGCCAGCCCCTACATCAGGTACGGCTCGGCTCCGTGGGAGCCCCGCTGCCGCCGGGGGGCTGCGGGCAGGGCGCTGAGGCAGCGCCAAACGCCCCAAAAAGCAGCCGGGCGCAGCCCGAAGGAGCAGCAGGGGTAACTGCAGGGCTCCTGTGTGTGTCCTGCGGGCGGCCGAGGTGTTTAATATGGCCAGGAATAGGGAGCTGCGTTGGCACCAGCCTGCAGGAGCGCTTCCTGCAGCCTGCCGAGTCCTCACAGCACCTGCGTGTGCTGGGGCTGGGAGGCTGAGCGGCTGCACACCTCGGATTCCGTGGTTTTGTGTACTTTTAGGCAGTGCGATGGCCATTATAACAGGGCCTCGGTGTTCTCGGGGATAAACTATAAATAAATGGCAGGTGAAGTTGGTGGTTAACTTCTATAAGGGATGTCGAGCCTGGACAGAGCTGAAGGAGCAGCGCTTCCCACCTACAGCAAGGAGCTGGCAGGGCTCAGGAATCAAACAGCATCCAATGCTCAGAGCAGGAAGATTTCCAAGAAACACACCGAGGAGTTTGCATACTCATAATTGTTTTTTTTCCAGCTCTGCTCTTGAGAAGCAATTGTGGAAGGCTGTGTTGAGAGGCAAATCAAAGGCATGACATAAGGATGAGCAGTTGCCTCAGTACTCATCGAATGCCTGGATCTTTTTTAGGCTGTTGTTCATCACATTTGAGATGACCCAATGCCCTATCCAAAATTAAGGCTTGGGAGGCTTGCTTTAGATGGAAAGAGGCCACGTTGTTGGAAAAATTGTTCTACTGCAACTGCATGTTTCATGTATATCTGTACTGCTGTTTTTTTACTGCAAAAAAGATTGCAGTTAAAAGATGCCATTTGATGGGAAAGTACTTTTCACAGATTTTCATCATGTATTGCATTTTGTTGTTCATCTCTGAAAAACATGCTGGGAAACACAAGTGAGGTGTGTGTGAGGAGTCAGAGAGTCAGACCTAACTGCATTAACAACAACAACAAAACTTGCAGTCATTAGAGTTGCGGCTTTTTTTTTTTTTTTTTTTTTTTTATAACTCAAAATTGTTCAGATTCAAATCCCATGAAGGAACTCATTAACTATGTGTGAAAGTAGGTTACATGCATTAATACTTAAGTATGATTTTGTGGTGGTTTTTATCTTTTTTTAAGCTTACTCATCTCTTGTCCTTGGGCTTGCAAGATACAAAGAACCAAAAATACATGTGCCTAATTCTTTTGCAGCACATAAAGAGAAGTGTTTGGCTTACCTACCTTTGCAGAGACTAATTTCCACCTGTGCTGCCTCTTTTCATCACTCCAGCATCTCTTTCATGTTCCAGCTGGTCTTCACGTTGGCTGGAATCGGTCGGGTAGGTTGCCAGTGTTGGAGCATTGTGGTTTCAGCTAAAATTGTTTCAGTCACTCTAGAGATAAAATGCATCTCTACGGTACCTACTTTCTGCAAGTCCCGTATATTATTATTTTTTTTTAATAAAATGATTGATTTACATTTCTATATAAAGAGACTCAGGAATTTTATGTCCTGGTATTGAAAGGTTAGATGATTCCAAAGCACGCTCTGGTACCAGAGTCTGTCAAAGTCTCCGAATGTCGATTGATTTGAGTTGCTTGAGAAATTCCAATATAAAGCTCAGAAAATCCAGCAATTCGTTTCAGAAGTAAAATTTGGAAGAAAAATGAGTGGATATGTCGAACTTAGCAGCGAAGCACTGTAATTATTAGTTGGCGTTGCATTTTCTGTATCTGGCTATGTCATTAAGTGTTGTGGCTGTGGGCAAGTTGGTGGGCAGGTTCCGAAGTTGTGTATGGTTTGCATGAACGCTTCGTTTAGGGCGTGAGCAGGAAAATAAGTAGGCATGGACGTTGTGAGGGGGTGGCTGGGTGTGAGCGGAGCCTGTGTATGCTGAAGGATTTGTGTAGCCACAGAGAGAGGAGCATTGCTTGGTTTGGGTTTTGCATGGAAGTTGTTTGGCAGAGCGTTATGAGTGGGGCACTTGTAAATGGTGGTGGTGTGGCGTCCCTCCAGGTGTTTGGCAGCTGGGCTGTCCATGCGGCTCAGCGGTGGCAGCTGCAGTGGGAAGAGGAAGAAAGATGCACAGATGTTTTCCTGGTCTTGTCCTTCTTGTCCATACCCTAGCTTCTGAGAGTGCAGGGAAAAAATGTCAGCCTCATGAATGAGTTTTCAGTGCCTGGGACCAGTAAGGCTTCTAATTCCTGTGGTAGCTTAAGGTCTTGCCTCAGCTGCTGAATGCCCAGTTGCTTGTAGGGGCAGCGAGGTCTCGGGTGGTTGTGTGAATTCCTACAGAATTGCCTTGTATGTACAGGTTTGCTTCATGCTTTAGTGTGCTCCTGGAGCAAATTCTGGCATTTATTAAAGAAAATAACTAAAAAAAAAAAAAAGAGAAGTCTTCCTGCGTATCTCTAACATCTTGTGGTACGTTCCTGAGCCTGAGAAAATGAGGATTCCTGATGAAGAGACTGCCATAGGACAAAGCGTGGTTTGGCTCAGAGAGACTGCTCTGCATCCCAGAGAAGTTAAATTCGAGCCAGGTTAGCTCTTGATTTTCTCTGCTGCAACTACCCAGCAACAGCTCTGCACTTTACTGTTTTTTTTTTTTAACAGTTTTTGTCCTGGCAGGAGCTGTAACATAGCTACAGTTGTATTGCGCAAGACGCTTTTCTTCGGTTTAATTTGTTTAGTTTGTGACCCTAGTGTAAATTACACTGGCATCAGAGTGCTTTTGACAGAATAAACTATGCTCACACCAGTAAGCGTGGCGTAAGTTGTAGCATATATCCACAAACCTTTTATAGGATAGGTCTGGTCCAAGTATTCCTGGTATCCTCAGCGGTAGCAGCAGATGTTCTCATCCGAGCAGCTCTGTCACTGTCTGGCATGAGCGGTTCATGGCCAGCTGAAACTTGCAGCTCTCAGTATTTTGCTGGCTTGCCGTCTGTTTGCCTGTGCATCAGGGTGCAGTGAGAGCTGTGTTAGCAGAGGGTATCGGGACCCAAGTTCCTGGGTAGCTTTGCTCTGTCACGCAGCGGTGGTTCCGCTGTCTCAATTAAGTGCTGTTTTTAAAATTACTTTTTTGTTGCTGTAGTTATCTCAGCAAGTTTCATCTTTGGCTTTCACACATCTGTGTGAACAGATTGCGGATGGGTGCACGCACGCTGTGCTGTTCCTCGAGGCTTTTCTGACTTAATAACGGAGCAGTAACTGTATTCTCATCTTTTTCCAGATGAGCATAATATAGCCAGACCAAAATCAAGATGTAAGATCAAGTACACGTTACATTCCATTTGCTTATAAATGCTTTCTGTGGATTGATATTGACCAGAAATAACATGACAACGGTTCCATCTTCTTACCTGCGCTGCTCAACCCGCTGAAGCAGACCTTGCAAGACCCTTCTCCGACCCCAAGCCGTAACCTGCCAGCGCTGAGACAGCTTCCAGCGGAGCAGTGCCGCGACCTGTCCTCCGTCACCCAGCGCCTGCGCTGCTCGTGCTGGGAGTAGCGAGGGCTGCGGGCAGGCAGCCTGCTCGGGCTGCTTCGTGCACAGGCGTGTCTGCGCAGGAGAGGCTGAGGTGGCAGCTTTTGGTACCGGCGTCGCAGAGCCGTGTGAGGTGGAGGCCGACATGTGCCGGTTGCTCCTGTTGTGCCTTTCCTGCTACCTGTTTGGTTTTAGTGGACATTCATGGGGATCTTTCATAGTCCTTTAAAACTCTTTCATTTTGGAACTAAAATAAATGACTGCTGAGGCTGGGAGGTGTTTGGTGATCAGGAGCCCGTTCTCTCAAGTGCTGGTTCAGCTGAATTGCTCTGTGCTTGTTCCAAGTTTTCAGGTGTCCGCCTGCCCCCTCTGTCAGCATGGTGCTACAAGCAGCAGCGTAAAGCCATGCCGTAGTCAAGCCTTCTTACAAGAGGTTGGTTTCTGTCACTTTCCTGGGGACTTCAGAGGCTGCCCTGACAGTTTGAACTCTTACAGGAAGGTAGGAACAAATTGTGCCAGGTTTTCCTCCCAAACTTTTAAAGCTGTGTTTCAGATCAGGCTACACTTCTTTCCAAGTGACACTAAAACATCCCCTGTGATGCTTTAGTGATACCTGAGTTGTAAGTCTCAAACTCTGAGAAGCAATAAATCAAAATCACAACCATGTCCAGAAACTTCCTGTCTGGCACAACGAAAAAAGCACCGAAATATGCATTATGTTTGGACAGGTAGTTGGGGGCAACAGTGATAAAGGTATGTGAGGAGATTATGCTGTAAAAAGGATTTTGAAAAGTGCTATGCCAGGCTTGAGTGGGGAGTTGTTAATTACCTTCCTGCTCCAACAAGCCCCTAAAGATGGCCTAGAGGGAGGAAACAGTAAGGCTCTTCCCAGCTGAAAACAGGCAGACAATACAGCTGGGCTGCTGCTGCACGTCAGGCAGAGGGAGAACAGGAAATCGGAGCATGCTGTTTATTAAGGAGCCTTGAGATGATGTTTCTTGGTCTTTGCGTTTGGGGACGCACGGTTCCTATACATGCACATTTTGAGGGTCGAATTGAAGGAGGTGGGGCAGGTTGCTTTTGTGCCCGTGTTAACTTTTGAACTTTTGCCAAACAAAGCAATTTTGTTGTTAAAAGGGCTTTTTTATTAACCATTTTTCTGGCGTCCTTTAAAACATACTCTGTGGCTGGGACAGGGCTGTTCTGAAGCTCTTCCTGTGCAGGAAGGAAAATCTGGAGCTGAGTCTGGACACATCTTCCTTTGTGTTCTTTGTGTTGCATTGGTCTCAGCTACAACTACTGAAGGAACATTTTCCTTATGTGGGCTGACATGTGAAAAGTAACTGATGGTCTTAAGGAGTTTGTTGCTTTGCTCTGTCGAGACCTTTTATTTCAGGTATAGTACAAAGCTTTCCCCCTCAGTCATGCTGCTGAGCGTAGTGCCACCTATGCACTGCCATGCTGCGGTCTCCCCTATTTATCTTCCCCTGT